TCCCTTTTCTTTTAAATAAGTTATTGTCTTTTCAACGTCTTGCCATTGCAGCGAAGAAGTAAGATCCATCCATGAAAAGACCTCAAATTTTATAAGAGGGTTACTCCACTGTTGTAAATACTCCCGTGCCGTTTTGTAATAATTATCGACTTCTTCGTCGAATAATTTTATCGAAACAAAAAGCTGAGCATCGTCTTTTATTTTATTATATTCAATTTTAGTTTTGATTCCCAAAAAGTTAGCTTCGGCGTGTTCTGAAAGTGTTTGTTCTAAATCGTTTATAATTTTTTTGACTTCTATAATGGTAATATCAGATTTTTCTATTTTTTTTGATTTGTTTCTCAAATAAAAATGTTTGACAATGTAAAAACAAAAAATAAATTTGTGACAACGGATTGTTGAAAAATCGATAATTGCTTTTGGTGGTCTTGTTTCTTCGAGAAAGAAATTTTTTAGTGGTTCCCATAACTGTAGAATACGTTCAATTGCTGGCAACAAAGACAGCCATCGAGTTCTCGAATGAGACTGTAAATTAACATAATGTACATCAGCCTCCTCACAAAACGAGTTAAGACGTTCATTTCTTACAGTAAATATGGAAAAATATTTATTAATTTTAAGTACTATAGACTCCACGTCAATAGAAAGTACGTCAGCGGATGTAGATGCTGTATTATGTAAAATATGAGCTGGACAACCTACGCTTTCGATATCTTTAGATAATATGGATTGAAGTTTAAAGTAAACATTGTTTGTTCCATGTCTGTCTCTCCCACCAAAATTAGTATTTGTATTATCTGCACTGTACGCGATTAGTTTATGTAAAGAAATATTTAAATTATTTAATGTGTTTATACTAAATTTCACTATAGTCTCTGAAGTTTCATTTTCCAAAGAATTAAGCTTTATTAATTTTAATTGCATACCTTTTGTTTCGGAAAAATATTGAATTATAAGAGGAAACAATTTTTCCCCATTATGATTGCTAGCGTCCGTAAGAACTCCATAGAAAGGAACTTGTTCAATCTCTTCTTTAATTGTTTGCAAAGAATGTGGTGCCCATATATTTTTGATGATTGCTGTTGCTTTAGTCCGCGCAGTTGATTGTTTCGCGGCAATTTTTGAATCTGGATAGAGTTTTGAATTAAGTTTTGTGTTACAATCCAATGAATTAAATGATTGATGGTGGTTAACAATTTTATAAGCTGTTGTTAATTCTGCGGCACAAACTAAAATATCTTCTGGAGTGTTTTCCTTAACCATAAATGTTGAAATATCTTGTGAAGAGGACGCTATCGATATATTAGACTTATGAGTATTAGACTTGTTGTGGTCATGTATTGAAGTCTTACCACTGTGACTCACGGAAATAAATATATTGCATATTGTACAATGTGCTTCATATTCATTTCGACCCCTTTTTATGAACGACCATTCTTTGGTGTAATTATCTGAAAAATGACACTTTCTCTTTGGTATTGTTGACTACTTGTAAATTGTAAAACTAAACTAACGTCATACGAAAATACAAAATCACGATAAACGAGAATAAACATCACACGACGTTGGTTAGATTCGAACTAATACGAACTAATGCGAACGCATTACATGTATATTGACTGACGAAGTGACGCCCGATGGGTGTATCATATAAGTATTTTTGTATATTCTATATTTAACTAACCATAATGGCATAATAGCACAGTTCAATTATTATTATCAGTGGAGATAAGATAAAAGTGTCCTATGTGAAATTTATGATTTTAGAATACAAATATAATTTTTATAAAAATATAATTTAATATAATTATTGGTACTAATATTATTTGCACATAACCGGGAATTTTGTAGGGTCTAACGGGACGACCGGGACCGAAGTTATGAACTGAACTGGTGACATGTCCCGGTGTACCGGGACGTATGGCAACCCTAGTGTAAAGGGACACGTCTACGTAATCTGATAGACGCTGAAATTATGACTGGATCTGCAAAAGGTAAATCAGTTTTTATTCCTCACATACCAATGATACCATCAGATTAACTACTTCAATTCATAAGAATGTTCAGTTTCCTGTTAAAATATGTTTTGCTATGGCAATAAATAAAACACAAGGTCAAGCATTAAAAATTGCAGGGATCGATAAAAGAGTCAATTGTTTTTAAACAATTTATATGTGGCATACTGCAGAGTCAGTACGTCTACAAATTTAGATATTTTGACATCAATAAGAAATACATCAAATTTAGTTTATAGAGAAGTTTTATAGAAAAATTATTGTCATAAATTATTATTTTTTTGTTATATACCTATTAAAGTTAATAGGTATAATAGGGTAACACAAAAAAAAACTGCACATGGATGAAGCATACTATACATACTATGTAACTCATTTTCCTAAATTCAAAAGTTAATAGGGGTTAAAAATAAAAAACGGTATTTCTTGGTCAGATTTTTATAAAACCTAAAACCTCACCCACCCTCAAACATCTAATTAATTTAACAATTTAAACCACGGACGAAGCCAGGTATTCATAATCTATATCTGTATATTAGCACAGGTGAAGCTACTGTTAAAAGCTATAATAAATAAAACAAATAATGATAATAATCAGCTTTGTAACTAATTAATACATATGAAATATTTTTTAAACAATTTTATTTAAATTTTATTTAAATAGACAATATTTAATCTAGCCAGATAACAACAATACATAAGCCCAGCAACAACGGGAATTCAGATAGTATAATATATTAATAACGATTCTATTTATTCTATTTTATTATATTTACCATCACATAGCACAAATTACTTAAAATATTCGCCGATTCCAAAAACCATGGCTCTGTGTAACAAACTTGCTAAAACAGATGTTGATTTCTTCTTTTCTCCATTAAGTGATTATTTATGATTCATAAAATCTACTTAAATAATACTATGTAATAAGTGATATATTAGATTTCTTTGGTTTATATTCTCATTTTCGCTTTATTTTATACGTTTTACCTATTGTGTTTAGCGTTTAATACATTATAATCTAAATACTTGAACTATTGGAAAACTGCACGTTTTATTCATATGAATAAATTATTATTATTATACATTAAATTAATATATACCTCTTAAAATAGAAGGATAATTCGTAAAAATATTTTGAATACTTGATTTAAATACAGAATAAAATATTTTAACAAATAGGTTCTTTGAAATAGTTCATTGGACAAATTAATAACTAGATAGTATCGAAAATTAATTGCAGTAACAATATAAAATGCAGAGTATGAAAAGAGTGAGCTCGATCATTTCAATCACACAAAACACAAGTCACAACTAAATTCTGTTTAAAATATTGTATTAGTAAATCATTAATATAATATTTCTATTTCACTATAGTCAAATTCAAAAAATCAAAATACCATTACAACCTATTCACCGTTTTTACCGTCACTGTTAGCAAGGCCGTATCTAAAATTTTTTTTCGGGAGGGGTCCAAAACATGAGTATTATAATTTTATTGAATTTAGATTTTGACTTTTGATATTTGGTCAAAATAAGACAGAAAAAGATTTAATCTTCTTTTATTAAAATTAATATCATATTTTCATACGATATTATGATATAAAATTAAAAGCAGTGAATGATCAATTAGAGCTTAAGTCATTTTTGACAGAAAATATTTATGTTGATATTAAAAATGAATAATTATTTTAAACATTCATAAAATATTGAACAAATTTCGGAGATGGGATCCAGACACCCTGGACCCCACCCAGATACGGCCATGACTGTTGGTAATATTACGAATAGTTAATTTAAGAGAATTTGTTCTAAATATTTTTCATAACAGAATTTCAAAGAATTTACATTTTTTTCTTATACCTAATAGAAAATTCAACATAGCAAATTATGGTATTATCAATACAACTTTTTTTCTCTACATTAAATTTTGCGATTTTGTAGAGAAGCTCTTGTAATAATAAAAATACGAGTTTTATGTACGATTTGTTTTATTAATGTAGCCCGTAGGTTGATAATCGCGTTCTAATGCAATATTTGCAGTGTTCGTGATTAAAATGAATTCTGAATTTATACATTTCTATTCAGCACCAAAGTTAACAAAGTTTACCAGTCACGAATACTGAACATACGATTGCTGACCGTTTTTAAAATCAAATTATAACTTCCACATTACATATTATATACTTAGTCGAAAAACAATGGTTTTCATAACGAGAACAAAGAAATTTGTTATACAATGCACGAGTGCTCCTTATTTTTTTAAGCAAATTCGTTTCGTTTAGTTTCACAACGTATTCTCCAAACTTTCTTTTGACGTCACATAATGTAGTACATTCTCCGTGTGAGGCGTGCGTAGTGTACACGCCATTCCGTTGTTACCAATCTTACCATATACACATTAGTAACAACAAATAGTAATTATACCGCACTAATTTGTCAAAGTTTAAAGAGTAAAATTCAAAACGCTCGTCAGTTCTCAAGCCCCCTTCCCTCAAACATGCACACGAACGCATACCGTCGGACCGGTCAGTCTGCCCGCGTTTGGCGCGACGAAATGCAAATGTCTTAGACGGAGGATGTGAGGAGGAAAACATACATAACGAAAAACAACCTGTTTGACCGGGAACAAGTCCGACAGAAAACGCCACCTACCGGACCAGATCGCGGCGTGCCGAAGCCGTAAGTCTTGATCGCGTGAGAAAAAATATTTATAAATCGACACCCGTAGAGGACGAAAAGGGCGACCAGCGACCAGTGGTTTCGTTAAAACGAAAACGTGATTTGGCAAATGCACGTCCTGCACGGAAAACTGATCGAAAATCTCGGATCTATAGCCGATTTGACGACAACCCGTACACGTATCATCCTGCGCGCCGACTACGTAGAGCGCACGCGCAAGCGTGTGCGTTGCGCGACCGTCGTAGTAGCATACTATTATAGCACTGTAGCACACTAGCACTATTACATAGCAGTGTGTAGCATTGCAACGCGCACGGCGAATACCGGTTCTGAGCGCTGCTCCGCGTTCCAGCGGCGACCGACCAACCCGTGCGCGCGCGTACGTCACAACTACGAACTAGTAGCGGTGACTGCATCGACGAGGTGCGGACCAGCGCCAACACACACTGCTTGTGCACGCACATTGAAATTATTACAATATTTTTCGTCTCTTCTTCATCTATTATTTTAAGTATTATTTTCTCACACATATCACGGTTGGCTAAGAAGCGTGCACCACGAAAACATTATTGTCACTGACTGCTAAGAGACTGGTACGTTGAACTATAATATAGACATAAAATTATAATTGCTTTTATTCTTGTTGTTGTTGTTGTTGTTATTATCATAATCATAATAACTGTCCTAGAATTTAATAATGACTACCTGCGTGTTTACATCATACGTGATAACATTGATTATAAATAATATTAAATAATATAGTAATAGTATTTATAATCAATGGTGATAATAATAAAAATAACCGGCTCGTTAGAAAAATAGAAAACAATCCGTTGTCGCGATTTTTCTGAGACCAAGTGCCGTGATCGTATTCAGATTGCGTAGCGTTAATACTATCATAAGAATAACGTTGCCGTCGGCCGGCGCTTTTTTCATATAATGTATAATATAATAATCTTTCGCGTGACAACTTGTTGCTGTCGTTTCCGACCTACGCGTGAACACACCTGACGTCTGGCGCGTCGCATCCTATTGTTTGCGATTAGTACCGGAGCACCGCCACTGCGTGTAAAATATGTTTATTATTGTGTACTGAAACGCAATGAATGATATTTGTGCACATTATTATGTACAAAACACGTACGCAGGTCGTTCAATTATTGTAGATCACGGCCAGGCTAGTTGTTCGGCGTCGCGCGTCAGGCTTACGAGACAATCGGAAAACATTGACGAACATCTATCGTCGTGGTCGTTGTGACAGAATGTGACACATTTACCACGGTTTTTTCTCTCCCGGTCATAAACCGACTACGTACCACGACAAGCATCTACAAGTATCATCGGATACACGCGGCAGACAACAGTTGTTATAATAATGTGGAACATCTGCTTCGGCAATGATAGAAGGAACTGTGTATTATAATAACTCGTTCACTAATCGGATACGAAAAATCGTGAGAACAATATTATTATTTATTATTACGCAATACAATATTGTTAAATCCTACGCCTGTTGTATTAATGGTGTACAGAATACAATAGATATGCCAACAAATCGAAAAAAATGCCAAGAATTGTCGGTACCTTGCATTCATGAATTATTGTATCCACAATTTATTTCCTTTTACCTAAAGATATAATACATTATATTCATACGGATCGGAATTACGGCTAGCGCGCCCGTTCGCGCGCGCGCGCGCGTGTGTGTGTGTGTGTGTGTGTGTGTGTGTGCGCGTGCGATCAGGTCGAAAAACCAGTTTAGTATATAATAATAGACAACTGTCTGAGAACTCGGAATTATTAAAGTGGGAGAACTGGCAACACGGGAGGCTGTTGACATCAGACAACAGATACCTGTTACTGTCTGTGTGCGTGTTTGTGTACCCCTTATGTCCAGTGGCATGTAAGAGCCGGATATCTTAGATTTTCATTTTCTCGTCTTAATGTTGAGGTTTTTGCATAATAATTCACGCTTAGACGCCGTGACTTTATTATTGAAAAAAAACTTCTGTATGTCCTCGATTTAGATTAATAAAGGACAATGGCCATATTCCCGATGCTGTCGGCTGTAGCCGGCTTCATTAAGGTGCGTTACATAGTTGACAGGGCCAATATTGACAATGCTGTATTCAGAGCACATTACAGACTAACCACAGCAATACTCTTTGGATGTTGTATACTGGTCACAGCTAATAATCTAATCGGTAAGTTTTTTTAATACAAATTTAAAAATACAATTTACTCGGAATAATTATCAACGAGTGAACGCTGCTTTGTTGTTGTAATAAAAGAGGCAATTCCTTTCAATTGACCCTGGACCTATAAATAATAAGCAAGTGAATGGGTGGGTAAAAGAGTAGATGAATCATAAAAACAAATTAACATTACATCGCTTTAGTGTTGCAATTGTTGGGCCCAGTACTCTAGATGTTTAATCTCTCTCCCTAAATATGCTTACACCTATAGATTGGTTTATCTTATGTACTTATGATTCAATTAAGTTTATCAGTCACCCACCCTTAAATGGAAATACTAGAAGCCACATTGTATTATAAAAATATCATTGATCAAAACCAAATATTTTAAATTAATCAATATTTAAATCTTTTTTTGGATTATTTTAGGTGATCCTATATCTTGTATAACTGATGGTGCTATTCCGGAGCATGTGATCAATACATTTTGCTGGATAACTCATACATTTACATTGCCCGATAAAATTGGAAAAGGCATTGGTACACATGTTGCTCATCCTGGTGTATCAAGTTATGTTGATAATGAAGACCCAAAACAATTCCATTCATATTACCAATGGGTACCTTTCATGCTATTTTTCCAAGGCATTTTATTCTATGTGCCGCATTGGCTATGGAAAAATTGGGAAGAAGGTAAAATTCGTATGATCACAGATGGTGTACGTGGTGCTTCGATTGGACAAAATGAAGAGAGAGTAAATCGTCAAAAACAATTAGTTCAATATCTTATCGATACTCTCCATATGCATAATGTATATGCTTCAGGATATTTCTTATGTGAAGTAAATATTTCATAAACATTTTTTTATTTTAATTCAATTTAATAATTCAATTTAATTCAATTTGTAGGTGTTCAATTTTTTAAATGTAATTGGAAACATGTTCTTAATTGACAGTTTCTTAGGAGGAGAATTTTTTACTTATGGTATTAAAGTTCTAGAGCTTAGTCAAATGGATCAAGAAAACCGTTATGATCCAATGGTAGCTGTTTTTCCAAGAGTTACGAAATGCACATTTCATAAATTTGGTCCATCTGGAACAATTCAAGCACATGATGCGCTTTGCATATTGGCATTAAATATTTTAAATGAAAAAATATATATATTTTTGTGGTTTTGGTTCATAATATTGGCAATTTTATCTGGTATGGCTCTAGCATACAGTATTGCTGTAGTGACATTACCTTCAATTAGAGAGACAATTTTACTACGTCGCTTTAAATTTGGTACACCAGAATCTGTTTCAGCACTCATAAGAAAAACGCAGGTAAATATATTTATTTAAATGTGTTAATTTTTTAACTTTCCTCAATTTTTTTTTACTAACTATTTAATAACTAACAATATTTAAGAAAGAATTTAAATTTATTAAAAAAATTTTTATAACTATACTTATTATTTTTGAATTATTGTGTATTATTTCAGGTGGGCGATTTCTTATTACTTCATCTTTTGGGTCAAAATATGAATATGATGCACTTCACTGAAGTATTAGATGATCTTAGTTCACGTCTACATCTAGGTAATAATTTACCAACTGCCCCTTCAACTCTGGAATTATCACCAATGTATCCTTTGGATAAACTGAGACTTCACAAAGAAACAGAGGCTTAGACGATGAATAATGTCTATTTGGTTTTATTAAGAAAAAAACATTTGGAGTTGAAAATTTTAATCTCAAACTGTGTTCAATTTATTGTCTCAATATTAAGAAAAACATTCCATAAATAAGAAACATTTGAACATTAAGTAATTTATGTAATTTAATAAACAACTTATAATGACTAGTTTTTATCGGACTAGTAATATGCAATAATTAGTTGTAAGACTTAATCATTTTTTCAACTAAATATTTTATTATAAAATTAATCTTTTTAAGTCTTATGTTACAATTGTGGTATCTAATTATTCCTACATAGTAATAATGTATCATTTTATGTAATGTCATATACTTATAATACTTAAATTGTTGATTATAATCATTTGAATGCACTTAGGCACTATTTATATTAAAAAAATATAATTTTAGTTTTATATTGTAAGTTATTTTGATTTTAAATTAGAGGTTTATCTTCTATTAAAATTGTAATTAATTGTGATAAGAAATATTGTGAATTTCAATATAGAAATTTTAGTAGTTAATTTATTTTAACAAAATAAAATGTAAAAATTATTTATAATTCATGAGATGTAACTGAAAAAAAAATTCCATGTCAATATAAGAATTTTAAAAACAATTTAAGTACCATTTATGTATTAAAATAGAGTTTTATATATTATTTTAATAAACAAATTTATATTTTATTAATTTCTTAATTTAAATGAATTGTTTAACTAAGGCAAAAACTAAAAATAGTTTTTCATAAAAAAGAATATCATTTAAACTGTATAATAGGTTGTCTAATTATTTTTGATTTTTATATTTAATAATTAAATCAAGGCCTAGAAAAATAGTTAAATACTGTGTTTATTATAATTGCAAAATAAAACCAATCACAATCTTCAACTGTGATAACTATATTCAATACTTAATTAAGAAACATAGTAAGACTAAACATTTCATAAATCGTCATTGAAGTGTTAATTAAAATAATATTAATTTTAGTGTTTTAATGTCTAACCATCAAAATATTATCATTTCTGTTTAAATAAAACGCTCATCAATACAGAATATAAATTTAAAATTAAATTCAAATCTACATCAAAAACTTAAAATATTTTCAGCTTACTAAGATGGGACTGAATATGTGAATATAATAAGCTGGTGATGAGTATAAATTATGTCATAAAATTGAACTTGGCCTCAAATTACCTAAGGTAGATAATCAGAATTAATAGACTACCACCTCTTCCATGATGTAATATAAACTTTAATGTGCTAATTGATAAATTAAGTAAATTATGTGAATAACCTTAGCAAATGCCTAATTTTGATCAATCAAATTTATATAGTATTCTTAATATATTAAGAAAAAAGTACTAATAATGTTAACCAATATACATTTTACTTTTTACATATTTTAAATTCTATAATTTTTTTTTATTTTAAAAACTTTATAAGGAACTATAGTCACAATTAAAACTTCAATAAAAAAAACTACTACATTTATTGCCATGCTGTGCAGCAATTGTATATTCATCATCATTATATGCATATAGGTTTAAAATTTAAGTTATATAACATATTCTAAAAATTAATTTGAAATTATTTTAATTACTTGTATACGTAATGGTTCATAATTCCAACTTTACTTAATAATAATGTCAATTATGTAAATCAATTTCCTATTTTTTAATAAATAAAATTGTGCTTTTTAAACTTCAGATCCAAACCAAATTAATATTATAAATATATTAACATGTACTGTAAACTATAATTTTACTATTTGGGTCAGAAACCATAAGATAAATAAAACTAAAATTGTTTGAAGTTTAATACTCTTAAAATAAAACCAATTTTAAAAATAATAATCTCTTTCAATATATTTTGAATAGTGAAATAGTAAATATTCACCTGAGAATTTAATAAAATTTTTATTCTTAGTCACCATTTAGTTATATAAAAAAAAAAAAAAGATGATTTTTATTAAACTAAATTATCTCTATGAAACTATAAATAATAATAATTTGTATTGTTTGATTCTTATTAGCATAATTGTTTTTTTTTTACACCTCACAATGATTATAAATCGAAATTGGTCATAAATATTTACAAATATACAGAATAAAATAAATAAATACTATAGTCAAGGTCTGTTAATTTTTTGAAAATTTTAATAATAACTAATTTATTATTTATATTTTTTTTAAATATTTTGTTATTATGAAATACATTTTTAAACCATAAATTATTCATCTAATTTAGTACTCTTTATAGAATTTATAGCAGCGGTCTCCACTACCATATTAGGGTTAAAAAATGACTGAAAATTACTAGCAGAACACATACATTTTTAATGGTAATGGTTAAAAAGTATAATTTATATTTTTAATAATATTAAATTCTATAAAAGTAAAAACAAGAATAATAAGATAAGATAAATAAAAGTATTTGCATATAACATTATACCACAACCAAAAATTACGTAATTTATTTACTTTAATTAATTTAGAATTTTAAAACGTAAATTTAGTTTTAATTTTAGCTGCAAAATATTTGTTAAATGGTTGCATGCATCCTGTAGGACGCATAGTGATTACTACTACTTTATTGTATAATAGATAGAATAAAGCAATTAACATGCATCATTTTTCTATTTACCTGTTTCCCCAATCAATTTTGGCTGTTATCTTTAATTTTAGTTCCCTTGTTTGGTCTTGAGTTAATGTTCCAGTTAAGAGTTGTTTTCTCCATTCCAATAACTCTCGCATTACTTTACGTAGTGTAATAAACTTATAAGTTTCTCGGTCCTAAAAATAAATAAATTTTTATTAAATGTAGGTAATAATTTCTATTGTTTCAGTACTCTCAATTTATAAACTAAAATGTTTTATAATACAAATAATATAAAACATAAAAACTTTAACTATTTTTAATGTTTTGAAATTATGTATGTTATGACTAAAATAAGAAATGTAAGTGAAATAAAAACTTATACATACATATGTTATTCAAATTTTTATAAATATATAATAATTAAAGTTGCAATGTTTTATAATGTGATTTTATAGTTCTACAGTTCTGTTAATTTAACCCAAAGCTAATAAATATTTTATAGTAGATATTTAACTAATTTATTGATCTGAAAACTTAAATATTTTTTGAGACAGAAAAAAATTGTATTATGTCTATGAGGTCTTCTTAAATTACTGATTTATTAATTTTTTATATTCAATGTATATTAGGGTAGTTCTTATTTATAGAGATTTTTTTTTTTATTATTATTATTTATTATCAATGCCTCCAAAAAGGTTCCAATATGTATAAAAATGATGTATACAAAATTTGAATATAATCGGATAAGTTTAACCTGTGACTCAAAGCCCTTAAAGTTACTACTATAATAAACCGTAGACATGGCTGTAAATATAAAATACCCCACCGATACAGTTCATATTTTAATCGTACATAGTCTTTTTTTATCTTAATGTCTTTAATATCTAATGTGATCATGTGAATCATAATTGTGACGACCGTGAATGTTCGTATCTGTCATTAGTTATTGCAAACTCACTGGTGTCGTTACTGCAAAGTACACTTATAAAATAAATGTTAAGATGTTATAATGTCACTAGGATACGAACTTTGTGATCAAACGAAAATATATTAAATCGAAAACGATGCAAATCAAATTATAGGCAGCAAGTTATCATCCATTATGCAAGTGTAAAAAGTTTTATTTTATAATCATAGAAAAATGAAGCTTAATATGAGACAGAGTTGCTCTTTAGTTTTAAAAGAAACAATTATATTTTGGGAAAAAGCGCGCATACCAACAAGAGATTTTCAAAGTTGTATTGACAAATTAGAAAAAATGTATGATGAATAGAGAAATTTACAGAAAAAATACAAGTAAAAATTTAAAATTATTTAAACTTTGTCAAGAATATTAAACAAAAAAAGAAAAACGATTCAGTTCGTAATGTTTGTATTTTTATTTTTCGTTTCTATGTTAAAGCATGGTTCAATGCACCAAATGCCTGATTTGCATCACGCCAAGGCTTGTAATTTTTGAGTGTTTTTTATGATTATAAAACAATAGATGAAAATGTATTTGAAGTTACACTAAAAAAATTTATCAATCATCTATGGTATTTATCTCCAGAGTCAGTTTGATTTGCATTTTTCAATGATATTTCTGACGATACAAAAATAAAAATGATTCAAGCTTTAAAAAAAGATAATAATGTAAATGGAGATTCAATTAATATAGAAAAACGATTACGTGTAAAATTAAATGAAATTCCATGTTTTATAAATAAGACGATAGAATCATTTATTTCAGATAAAACTTTAAATTTTTTAAAAGGTTCAATATAAATTATAACTTTATTGAAACATTGCCATCAACTTGGGAGAATAATTTAGAATACAAACAGGGTAAAGAAATTATCAGCATATTAAAAATTGTAAATGATACAGCTGAACAAGCTGTTAAATGCATTTTAAGATTTTAACAAAATTGGTTCAAAAAATGAAGAACTGAAGCAGTATATTCTTCAAGTTGTCATGGAATACAGGCAATGGTATTCAAATTCCAACAAAAGCATTCATATGGAAAAATTATAATACATGCATACAAAATAAAATATTGGTAGACATTAATTAAAAATGTATTAATTATTATAAATTGTTTATAAAATTAAAATTTGTTTTTCCTTACAAAATATGTAATTATTATTTAATTTGTAGGTTAATTTTATGAATTACTCAATTTTTTAAAAATATTAATAATGTAAAACTTATGAGAGCTTTGGGGTACGGGTTTAATTTATCCGATTATGCTCAAATTTTGTATGCGTCATTTTTATGCATATTGGAACCTAATTAGGGGGATCGGTCATAAAAATTTAAATATTTAAAAATAAGGACCACCCTATTATATACATATATATCAATTAATAACTTAAATTTTATGTTTCAAGTAATCTTGATTTAATTAATTGATACAATATGTATCCATTAAAAGAGAAAATTTCAAGAAATAATTAAGATGGATCATTGGAAGACATCATAAAATTTGTTTCTATATAATTTATCTGATCTCAGAACCGATAAAAAAAATTTTCACAAAATGTATTTCAATATTTTATATTGTATTTAAATTTTTACAAGAAATATTGATTAATATATTCAAGGATTTTTATTTTCTAACAATAAACATTTAGTTTAACTATTTTATGTAACTATTACATTATTTATAATCATTATTTATCAGAAATATATAAATATAATAAACAAATTTTACTTCTAAATATTTTAAAGATTTAATATAAGAGAATATATGAATATTTTAATAAAAATGTAAATATCATTTTTTACCAAATAATTAAAAAAAATATGCTAAATTTTTACACTTGTCACTAATATTGCATACATATTTTTATTGTAAAATAATTTGTTTGTTATTTTATAAAAGAAATTTTCAGATGAATTACCAAATTTGGCACGTAATTTATTTATTAACTGTAAACAACTTCATATAAATTCATGAAAATATGAAACTATTTTATTGACATACCACATATAATGACTTCCAGATACAATTCCAATCTCGTAGAACCAAAGATACTTCTCTAACAACTGAATCTTCCAATGGTATAGCGGTTTCAAAACTTCTAAAGTTTAAAATTACCAAATATTAAACAAAAAATATATATTTTATTGATATTTAAATTAAAAAATTACCCTTCATTTTCAATGCGGCAGGGTTTCAAATGAATATATGTAGATGGAAATATACCCTAAACAATATAATTATAAGCAACAATTACATAATATATTAATATAATAATCTCACCTTTACAGATCGATTTTTTGTAACAAATCCTCTATACCAACCTAGATAGTATAAATAAAACAGTTTTAAATTATAGTTGAATAATTTTTTAAATAAATATCTAACTGACCACAACATTGTTCAAGAATTTGAACAGTATCTCCAATTTCAAGATGTAGACCGTATGGATTATCTCCATTCCAGTTGTATATAACTGTAAGATAATTTATATAATATAATAATAAATAAAATATTTCAAAACATCAATTAATAAATAAAAAACATTATATGCTACGCACCAACTCCATATTTTTTTGTTTTCGTAGGAGTCCACATATTATGTTATTGAAGATCCCTGTTGTAGTTTTTCAACTCATGATTTTTCTTCCTCTTTTTATTTTTCAGACTTTCGAATTGAACAGAAAAAACAAAAATTAAATTTGATTATTCTTTCCGAAATATACTTATTCGGTATTGTTTACATTTCACTTTTAATTGTTATCAAACACGGGGGTGGAGCCGCTAACTAATAAGATAAGATATGTACTTTTTCATACGCAATAATGTGTCCTATGTATACTTATTTCTGGTTTCTTTAATCGAAACCAGTGGCGCCGAATCTTAGAGTAAGATTATGTGCCGAACTCCTACTCCAGGTAGATCAATTGAACTGCCTAGAAATTGGAATGTTAAAAAAATAAAAATTTTTCTTATATATTATTTGACAAATATTTTCTATTGAAAATATATATATATACATATAATTTAATATTATATAAAATCATTTAATGATTAAATATGTTTAACAGAAATGTTTAAATATTCAAATGGGCGGTAAATTGAAAGGGATGGATGGCTAAATCCAGTGGCGTATACAGAAAATATTTTCGGGAGGGGCTGCTATGAACAGAGTTAAATTACCACTGCTATCTAAGAATTACTAACAAGCCACAGTAGGTACTTATCTACGTTTCATTTACAGAATGTCCCAAAATGATTTGACGTTGGACGCAAATTCTAAATAAACATAGAGCACTATTAAAATATAACAAACGTTTAAAACATTTGGGGGGAGGGCTGTAGGCCACTTGCCCCCCCCCCCTATATACACCACTGTGTAAATCTAATTATTTGAACTGGCAGTTTTCATTCGGCGTTAATTCGAATCTTACGTTTGAACGTAGAGTGTTAGGAATAGTTAATACTATAACAGTAGATGCCTATAAATACTTCTGAGTGGGCCGGGACCCCTTCAAATTTACTCTGGTCTAGGGCTGACTCCCCCAAATTCATATACAAATTTTTTTTATTGAGTATTAAAATCATGCTTTAAGTTATGCACATTAAATACATTTATTTTGATTACGATTTGATAGTATAGTTTATTATGATTTTGATTACTATATAACTTATATATAAATATGTGTATTAATATATAAAATGCTGTAAAAAACATTATCTTAAAGTTAAAAATAGGGTCTATTCGTATTCAACATTATATTAAATGGTAACTAGTGTAAAAGTGTCACAGGCTCTACAAGTTTTTCATAGAAAAAAAATTATGAAAAATGATACAAGGGCCCAAAATTGTTGCCATTCCCACCAATAGTAATTTAGTAATTTAGTAATAGTAATAATAATAGTAATTTAATCTAATAGTAATTTACAGGCTACTTGCCTGTTTGGTAGAGCTACCCTTAAAATAGTAATTCACAAATTCTTGAATTATTAACAATGTATGTAATAATTGTTTTAATGAGTTAATAATTTGATAAAAAGACATAATTGGGTCAACAATTTTTTTATACATATTAACTATGATAATGTTTTATGAATAGAAAGTTCTGTATGACTTTCAAATTCTGGCACCTGTTGTTTTAGGGATTTCTACAAATAGAACTTAAAGAATGATATTTTTAATATTTACGTACATCTATACAAAATTCAGGTTTCATTGGAAGGTGAAATAAGTAAAACAAATTAATTTATACTAATTATTATTTTATTTTTTTTATATAAATATGATAAATTTTAACAATATCTATACAAAAATGTAAGTTCTATGTTTCATAATTTATTTATAGCAAATATCAATAGTATACATTTTGTTTTTCATCTATTAATTATTTACTTAATGAAGTATACACTTTAAGTAAAAAAACCCTGTCTGAAAATTTAATTTATAACATACATTTAATTTAAAGCCAATAATTATTATATTATACATAAAAAAGTAGTATTTTCTAAGAAATAAAATTGAAGAGGTAGAATCTTCTAAAATAAAACATTTTTATTTCACCCGCACAAAGACAGATAAATTAATTAATCTAATCAAATTTTCCCAAACCAATAATTTAAAGTTTTTAAGAAACATTGATAGATGTAGCAGATTTCAATATTCTCATATTCATTAGTCTTGAAAATGTAAATCAAAATAGTTTTTATTTTAAATAATATTTTCAAATGAGTTTCTTATTTTGTGTACCTGTTATGTATTATAAATATAAAGAATAATTCAAACATTGTAACTCAATTCAAATTTGTCTTCATTATTATATTTTCATACATTTTATTTTATTGAAGTTTTTTTAAAAAAAAATAATATATCAATTAAAAAAATAATATATTAATTAGAGAAATCATAACTCAAAATATATCATTAATTCTGTAATTCATTAAAATACAGCAATCTACTAATTAAAATGCAATAAATTAATATTAACTCTTAAAAATGATCCAATAATACATTTTAATAAGTGGATATTACAAAAAATTAACAAATCATTAAAAAATCTGTACAGTTAACAAAATTAGAAATTTGAATCATGGCATTTATTTTTAAAAGTAAATTTGTCACATGAAATCTGCTACCCTTTCACCTATACCCTATGTTAATTCAGTCTTCATTTATCGGACTGATAACAAATAAATAAATAAGACTCAATAAAAATAATCATTTATGGCAAATATTTGCTACATGAGGTTACATTGACCAATATTATCTGGCATTGGATTTCCATCAGCAACATCTCTTAATAATTCCTCTGGCGGTTGGCCACATTCTTGCATTTTTTTTAATAATTCCATGAGCTCTTTGAACTTTCTTGTTTTAGTAACTTCATCATCGGTGTCTTGTTGATTTTCTAAATGATTTCGAACTTCTTTTATGCAACCAAACATTTGTGTATACCTGAAATATGAAATTTAATATAAATTCATATAACACACTAATTATTAAAAAAAATCTATTACCTATCAAATTCTTCTTTATTCGATGTTAATTCATTGTCCTCGAGCCATTTTGGATATTTATCACATAAATCCTTAATGGATGGATATAAAACTTCTTTACTCAATAATGGTTGCATAAATTGCATCAGCATTGGTAACATATCATCGTCCATGTTGATGTCATCTTGTATACCCATGTTTGCAAACATAGAACCCATATCACTTCCTTCAGGCAAATTTTGTTTCACTTCTGATAGACTTTTTAATGACTCTTGAATAACAGCTTGTAAATCAGATCCAGATTCACCTAATATTAATGCTTGTAAACCAGCCGTTAGTTCTGCTTGGTCACTGTTCATGAATGATTTCATTGTTTCTTCAAGGCTTTCTTTTAAAAAGTCATCATTTGTACTGAAAGAAGGAATTTCAGATATAGCTGATGGTGTTTCTTTTTCAGCAGAATCTTCAAAATCTTTAAGTGCATCATCCAATAATTCAGACAATGCATTTTGTGAATTTTCATCTTTTGATGGTTTTTCAGACATTTCGAAATGAAATATTGAAATTAAAAAAGTATTCTGAAACTAATTATTATTTTATTTTACTCAAAATAAAAATGTTAAGATTTTTGTTAAATAATTTGTATTTATATTATAGTACACAGTCACTGTGCACTATGCAGACAATTTTGACCTCATAACAATTCATATTCGGATAGTTAAAAAGAATTTTGATAACAAAACAGATGTTTTATTATTGATAAGAAATAATAATTTAATTTGTTAAAAAAATCGAAAATAAGAAGAGAGGTTAACGTTGAGTTATTGATTATTTTAACAGTACTAAATTATAGAATTATTTATTACGCATTTATCATCTAATAATTAATAATTTGGTTTGCCATTATTTTCTGAATGGAGAGTGTAATATCTTCGTAACCATAATATATTTTATCAATTATAAAATTGTTTTAACATTTTAAGAACTACTCCAAAGTAAGTAATTTCATTTTATCATTGCTTTTATATTTCATAGAAAATTTTGTTTAAATTGGTCTTTAGTAATGGCCAGCTATTTTGATGAACTTCATGTTGATGAAGATGAAGTACCAACAGTTCGTGTGGAACGTTTGACAAGAGAGACATTTCGAATGCTTTTTGATCATGATCCAATACGATATGGTGACATGGTTAATTATCAAAGTAGTCCTCCTGCATCCAAATCAGAAATTGAAAAACTTATTACTCCTTTATTTGATGAACTATTGGGTAAATACTAGAAATATTTATTTACTAAACATTACTTAGACATTTTTGGTGCTTATTTATTGTCCAAAATTATGATAACAGACATTTTTTATTCTATGAGAATCATTATTTCCTCAACAATCCTTGACAATTTTGCATCTGTGAAATGCATATATTTTGAAAATTGACTATGATTAATGATTAATCTTGTATACAATTTCCAAGTTATAAAAGCCTAAAGCATTTATTGTACCATTTTTATTAATATATGAAGACACTTTATCATTATACAAGGTTATGAGTCATAACTTATGATTAACATCTAAGAATACCTTAGTTATCAAGACTACCACAATCTTAAAGATGCCTACGCACTGTGTTTCTATGCTCAGATTTATAATTATCATAATATTATTTAGCTTTTGTAATATTTGTAATATTTTTAAATTTTCCGTAAGTGGTGGACATACTAAAATCATCTTAAAGTCTTTATTAATCAAGATCAATTAAAGAACCGATTTAAAATCATAATCAACTAATGTTTAATGTATTTGGTTCTAAAACGTAAAGTTACATGAATTCAACAAAATGTATAACAATCAAAGTCCTATTTCATCAAGTAAACATTTTTCAATCATACATATTATACTAAAACTATATTTACATATTTAATACTTAATAGATACTATTTTATATAATACAAATAACTAAAAATAATTTATTAATCAATTTTTAAAAAATAAATTAGTTTATGATGATAAAAAAGTGATAAAATTTGAACAAAAGGTTTGTGATATTTCATAAAAAATGGTAGTCTCGTCTAAGTAAAGTATAAGTGTACTAGTGTAGTAAAGTTCCAATACAAAAAATGAATTTGATAATTGAAAATTGACCTCTTCATATTAATTTTTTGTTTAAATTTATGATCTGTTGAGATGCTGAAAAAAACTTGATGTCATTTTATTTCCCAAGAATGTAATGACAGAGTTTAATTTAATTTAAATCTAATTAATACATTACTTAATTTGTTTAAAACTAGAAATAAAGCCGGGTTCACACGGAGTCGTAAACTGGGTGAGAATACTACTATTAGGAGAGTTAGTCGTGAACACTACCTGGTGTGAACTAGTAGTTGTGGTAGTAGGAGCCGTCAACGACCAAAAATAAATCGGTCGTGATTACTCCGGTATGTTGGAATGAACATGACCGGTTTAGTTGTAAATCACTTAACAAATATCAAATTAATTGCATATATATATATATATATATATATGTATTTGTTTCGTTTTTCGTAGGCGTGAAATAATAAAATGTATTAGCTTATAATTTATTAATCAAATTAATTAATACATTTTATTTTTATATACAAATAACATTTCTTACATCAACGTAATGTTAGTTTACAAAATTAATACAAAACAAACAATTAAATTTGTTAAATTGTATCGCGATGCAGAATGTTTGTGGAAAATAAATTTTGAAGTGTACAAAGACAAAGATACTAGAGATAGAGCCTTAAAAAAAAAAAAAAAATGCGATTAAATGGGTATCGATGGTATTAGTATTCATAAAATAGCCCAAAAGATTAAAAATATTAGATCAGTTTATTATCAAGATTTGAAAAAAATAAATAACTCTAAAAAATCAGGAACATCTGCAATTGATATGTGTGAACTGGGGGTTGTAAATTATCGATTGTGCAATTCAAGCAGTTGTGAGACATGCGCAGAACGAGTAGTATTCTCACCCAGTTTATGACTTCGTGTGAACCCAGCTTAATAGTTACTTAAACTAATTTTTTTAGGAGAACAATGTCGAATATGTTTATGTCAATATCAAGTAAATGATAAAGCACTAACTATGCCATGTAAACATATATTTCATGAAGATTGTTTAAAAACATGGTTGGAAAAAGTAATGGATTATATATTGTATAAAATGAATGCATCACTAATTTATTTATTATATCTTTTCAGAGTAATTTTTGTCCACTTTGTAAATTTGAACTGAAGACCGATAATAAAATGTATGAATTATATAAAGAAGAATTAAAAAAACGACAAGCAAGAGAAAATAATATTGCCCAACTTCATGATTTAATGTTCTCATAAACTTATAAATTAATAAAACATTTTAATGATTATGGTAGTATTTTTAATTAGTTTTTAGGTGATTGAAAACTTTGGGATTGTATGACTTTATTAATTATACACTTAATACTTAAAACTATACTTACTACAATATACTATACTTACTACAAATATACATTATAAATTATTATTATTATAAACTATTATTATTATAAATTATTATTATTATAGGTTTTTAAAAGTGTGATTTTAAATAATATTATGTTTTTAATTTTTAATTTTAGAGTTTTATATCTTTACCATCCCAGATTAAATTTGAATGTTATTTAATCTCTGATATCATAATGTTTCCATTTTATATATTATTATACTTGTCTTATTAAATATAATTTTAATTCTTAATTATTTATTTTGAAGTTATTGTCATCCAAATTTTTAATACAACTAATAGTTATTGATTAAGTTACCAATAGTTGCTACAAGGATTTAATATATCTTATTTTTGTTGAATGGACTTTATCTGTATTTCAATGAGTATGTTGATAAATCTAAAAATTAAAATTATCAAAACAATTGGTAATGTAATATATTCCTAATATATTTTAAAATGATAACCACAAATAAAAACCAATTTTTCGCTAATATGCATCTAGCTGCAATATTATTCATATATAAATATAAGTTTTATGGAATTATTTGCATTCAACTTTTATAATATATTTAGTATCGCCATTTTATGCTGATTCTTAAGATTTAAAATGAGGATTAAATTTTGTTTAACTGCCAAAAAATTTAAAAGTTTTTATATTTTAGTGCAATTTTAACTTACCTATTGTATTAAGTTATAGGTTAAATCTAAAAAATGCTTAAATAAACACTTAAAATGTACCTGTTGGAGGAATTAGACTAACTTTTTCAGCCAATACATTTAGGACTTTGGAAAATAGTCATAAAACGATAAAACCATTTCTTATGTAAATTGCTTGAAATATATAGCTTTTATTTGTTTCTCTAATAAATTTATGTCTAAATCACATTTTATTTCTATTTATAGAATGCTCAACTCAACTTTAAGAAAATATTAGAAAATTGTAGACAGGCATGTACCGGCCCACCGGGATACCGGGAAAAATCCCGGTGGTCCCTCATAAAAATTATAAGACCTGGGACTTCTACCAAATAGGTATCTGTAGTTTTAGTTAAATTCAGTAATTTTATAATTTTTAACAATTTTAATTGAATAATTGAAAAGAGAAAATTGCATATAAGTCAAATAATAAATTTCATTGGTCATTTGCTGATAATAAAATTTTTATATATATATATATATATATAAAACATTATGTCAGTTCGTGTTGAGACACCGTTCAGTTCACACGTATGTTTTATCGTACACTGCTCCGCTTTTATCAGCTTCCGATAGCTAAGTCATTAGTGATCGCTGTTTTCCCCAGTACAAGTCGCGGGAACCCAAATTATCAGTAATATATAAGCATATTTACCTGCCTAGGCAACTTATTATATTGATTTTCCCTATCTATTACCTTACCTTATCTATGTCATTATGAATTCTCGTAAATGTAATTCCACTAACCCAAAACCCACAACCAGTAAAGTAACAAAAATAAATATGCCACCTACTTTAAAAATATCAACATCATTATCAAATCAAACGGGCGACTACTTTTCATTAGACTTCTCAGACAACGAACAAGACTGGCAAACAGTCTTATCAGTCTCAGCTAAACGCGTTAGATCTCCAGGTCACGCCTCTTCTTCACTGTCGAAAAAAGAAGCAAGCATTTTTATCTCCGCAAATCGTTTCTCTCCTTTAGCCACTCCTGATGAAGACTCACAAATGGTTACTGAAGTCAGTGAACAACAGCAGACACCTATCGTAATAAATCCTCCAAACCAGCCGCCTATATTTATCGAATCGGAGCTAAATTTCAATAATTTTATTATTAAAATTAACGAACTAACCAAGTCCTCTCGTTTGAGTGTAAAGCTTCTACCAAAGGCCTGAAGTTACAAACGTTTAATTTGGATTCTTACAAAGCCGTTATTAAATACCTCAAGAAAAACGAAGTTCCCCACCACTCCCTCCAGAATAAAGAGGATAAACCGTTCAGAGTAGTGATTAAAAATCTCCACCCTTCAACAGATATTTCATTCATAAAAACTGAACTTTCAGCCCTAGGTTTCGTAGTTAGAAATATAAACAATGCTCGCCATAGACTATCCAAATCGCCTCTCCCTATATTTTTATTGATTTAGAACCCAACTCTGAAATCTTTAAATTAACCTCGCTCTGCTTCACTAAAATTAAAGTTAAAACACCGTACGCCAAGAAAAACATTCCACAATGCCTCTACTACCAATCTTATGGCCACACACGTACATACTGCAGCACCATCCTAGATGCGTTTGTCGTGACGAACACTTCGCACGACTCTTCTTTGTGTCAAAAAAATCGAAATGAACCTGCCAAATGTGCCTTATGCAGTAGCCCAGTAAATTACCCAGCAAATTATAAAGGTTGTTCTGTCCATAAGGGCATCATCAAAAAACGGAAACTCCAACATTTTCCCTGGCGTAAAAATACTTCAAATTCCCAAGAAGCACTCACTTCCTCTATTCTTCAAAAACCAAGCCAGACTGACTTTCCCCCTCCCGAAAATCAATGAGCACACTAATGTTCCGCAGAATTCACCTTCTCCCGCTCATCCTGCCTCAAACAATATTAACGAACAACTCTCCTCTTTTATAATTGAATTTAGATTATTAATCAATCCATTAATTACACTACTCACAATAATCATAGACAAACTCATTAAAACCAATGGCCGCCAATAAATTGTCCACTCTAACCATTCTTCTTTGGAATGCTAAAATAAACTCCAAATCGCCCTAAAAGAAAACAATGTAGATATAGCTCTCATCTCACTCCCAGCTCAAAATTTAAAATTTTCGGATACGACTGCCTCCAAGCTAATCACCCCGATGACTCAGCTCATGCCGGTGCTGCATTACTAATTTCTACTAAAATCCCACACTCACCTTATCCACCTAAATCTAACCAACACATGCAGATAGTCGCTACATCTATAAATGTGAATTCCATACCCACTTCTATCGCATATGCCTACTTCTCTCCAGGATCACCTTTTCCTGCACAAGATCTGTCACTATTTCTTCAAACACTGAATCACATATACGTCATTGGTGCCGACTTTAATGCGAAGCATGAAACATGGGGCTGTCGCTCAAAAAACACTAGAGGTCGCACTCTACACAACTTTATAACAAACAAGTGCTCTAAAGTTATTTCTCCAGCCTCCCCTACATACTGATCAACTCACGCAAACCGCCACCCAGATTATCTTGATTTCTTCCTATCTAACGTCCCCAATTACATCCATAAAAATATTTCAAACCTGAATGACCCTGCATCCGACCACACACCACTCATCCTCAAAATTCAAGCAAAAGTTGTCATCCACCCATTTATCAGAAAACGCACAGACTGGAATAAATTTCGTAATATTATGACAACTTCCACCTCTTTAAACATAAAGTTAAAAAACCCCACCGATATAGATACTGCCATAAACACTCACACAAACAATATTCAAGACACACTTCGAATATATTCCACCACAGCAGCAAATCAAGACAACTCCAATAGTCTTATTACTCCCAAAATAAGAAAATCTCTCAAAAACGTCGGGCTCGAAACATTTGGCAACGAACTCACTACCCGATTGACAAACAACGGTACAATTATTTTTCCAACAAACTCAAGTCAACTCTCATAAAACATAAAAATCAACTATACATCTCCCATATTCAATCTTTCACCCTCAAACGGGTCTCTCTGGAGAAAAACTAAATCTCTTTTAAAGCATAAATCTACCATTCCTCCTCACCGTTATCAAAACAACAATCTTGCTACCATTGACCAAGAAAAGTCAGATCTGCTGGCTAACCATCTTGCTAATACATTTAAACTTCACAACATTTCCCCTGACGCTACTCACATGCTTCAAGTTGATCAATTCATCACATCACCTCTGCCCATGGCACTACCAGCCTCGCCCACTTATCCTGGCGAAGTTCTATCAATTGTTTAAAAACTCAAGAATAGTAAGTCACTCGGCCTTGATCACATAAACAACAAAACAGTCAAAAATTTACCTCCAAAAACCATCGTTCTCCTCACCTACATCTTATCATGCTATATTTCTACTATCTTATTTCCCTAGTTCCTGGAAATCAGCACTCATTATACCTATACTTAAACCAGGCAAACAACCTGATATTCCAGAATGGTATAGACCAATCAGTCTACTACCCACGTTTGGAAAAATTTTTGAAAAACTTCTTCTCAAGAGACTTATGACTATCGCACTCAAACAAAATGCCCTATCCAGCTTTCAATTTGGTTTCCGAGCCAAACATGCAACTTTTACACCAACTCCACCGCGTAGTGGACCATATTGCTACATCTCTAGAAACAATAAAATATTGCTCAGGGCTTTTTCTCGACGTAGCTCAAGCTTTTGACGCTGTCTGGCACGACGGTTCATTATACAAACTTAAAAAAACTTTCCCGGTTCCTTATTATTTACTTTTAAAATTATACCTAAATAACTGAACATTCAGAGTCAAATTAAAAACCACATTTTCCAGCTCACAAAACATTCTAGCCGTTGTCCCTCAGGGAAGCGACATCGCTCCTTTCCTCTACACATTGTTCACAGCTGACATTCCTACAACCGATAACATCCTATTAGGGACATATGCCGACGACACCGCAATTCTTTCATCCAGTCAAGATCCACACGAAGCAAGCGGCCTACTTCAAAACCATCTAAACAGCTTATTCCACTGGTTCAAATCATGGAAAATCAAGATCAATAATCTTCTCACGTCACCTTCTCCCTCCCATCCGGTAACTGTTCTCATATAACATTTGAAAACGCAATCTTTTCTCACACAAACGAAGTCAAATATCTCGGTCTACTGTTTGAAAGAAGGTTCACCTAGGGCCTCCACCTCAAAACCAAACATAAACAAATAAATAGCCGCCTGCACATCCTTAGGCCTCTCATGAAATCTAATATGTGCATCTCTAACCATCTACTACTCTATAAATCCTTACTGCAATCTATCTGGTCATATGGAATAGCTTTTTGGGGTACCGCTAAACCATCGAACACAAGAACCATACAAGCATTTCAAGCTATCTGCCTCCGCATGATTGCTAATACCCCTTGGTACGTCACAAATATTGCTCTACATAATGACCTTCAAATCCTCACCGTTAAACAAGCAGCTATCAAATATTATCTTCGCCTGCACTCCAATATGGAACACCACTCAAATACCCTCATCACTCAACTTCATACCAACGCTCTTCCTGGCAACCCAGCCAGGCACCTTAAACGTGAATAGCCCAGAGATCTTCTCAACGCACATTAAACTCAAAATGTCTTTTTCATTTTTACTATCTCTCACTAAATTATCCTCCACGTAGAAATTTCTAATGTGAAACTTCTACTCACTGTCTTCTTCTCACCGCCTCTTTAAAAAAAAAAAAATTATCTCATTCACATTTACTTATTGTACCATTTTATATAGATTGTAAATTTTCATAAATAAACGATAATTTAAAAAAAAAACATGTTTTATAAATATATATAAGTCAACTACAAACAATTTCTTATTACCATAGACGTGTCTGAAAATGTTGTGCAGGTATGGCCAATAAAATTTTTCATTAGGAAAATTGAAATTTTCATTTAGGATATGAAGACAAAGAGTGACTTATACACAATACACTACATCGAGAACGTACGTAGTAATTGTAGTTACTACAGTAACAACAGTTAGTAAATAATATTCTCACCCTCTTCAAAAAAATAAAAGGTATATAACATAAAATATAATTAGAACTACACGGGTACTTATAGCTATAGATAATAGGTAATAAATATTATTATAATAGTTAATTTTTGTCACAAACATATTATACATATATAATATTTTATGTGAAAATATTTATTATTTTGTTCTGTTTTATTTAATCATTCTTTTTTCTTTTTAGTAATTATTTTTAATGATTTAAGCATAAATTTAAAACGGAGCTGGATTTTGCAGGTCTGACCATTGCCAGAGTGACCATAAGCGTAAACACGCCCATGCTTATTACGCTGTTTGAAATAGAACGTTTATGCGTGCTAAGCAAGGCACTTCATACGTTTAGAAATACACTATCTAAAGTGGCATTAATTTTGAAAAAAATTAAATTTTTAGATTTTTCCCTTTAGTTACACTGTAAAACCTACTTTTGTGTCAAATTTCATGTTTCTACTTATACGAGAAGTGTCTTATAATTTTGATGATCAGTGAGTGAGTGAGTCAGTAACAAAATTGCAAATTTTGAAATCCTCCCATTTCAAAATGGTGCAATATTAAGGGCTTATTTTCTTACATCATCCTAAGCTACTCGAAATTAATTTGTGTTTTAAATTTTAAAAGTTTATCTTAAAAAGAAACAGAGATATATGGATTAGAATAACCGGGCGAATTGGTTCATGTAAAGATACATTGACATTGCTGGAACTTGGCCGGCGCACTGCCGTGCGCTCAGATTGTTGATTATGAATTAACATATCTATATGAACTTTTTACTATACATACGAGTTATGTAAAATAACTCGTTTGTAAGTACTATTAGTAAATATTTATAACTAATGATTTTTAACAAATATTGATAAAAAAATGTTTATGTAATTACTATTTGTTCATAGATATATTAATATGTCTATGTATTTAATATTAAATTAAAAAAATGTAAAATAATTGCTGATAAATAATGAATTAAGTCAATAAAAACTCATTAATAACTTAACATATAAATTAATAAAATATTAATAAGTTTATGTCCAACCCTATAAGTACGGTTTAATTAAAAAACATCATAAAAATGATCAATATTAAATTACAATAGGCAATTAACCTTTGTAAAATGGCAGTCAAATATAGTAGTTACACCTAGGGTGAGAAACTCAGAAATTATTATTATTTATTTAAATTTACGAATTTTTAAGCCATGGGTACAATAAAGCGGTCCATCGCAGTGGGACAATTCAGACCACACCATTCACGACGACACGTAGTACAGTTGTACAAAATTACAAAATCCCGCACAAACAGACGTCGATCTATTTTTGTTTTTAATTTAATTTTTTTTTTTTACCTTTTTTTATATAATATTATTAATTATATTTAGAAAAAATGGATGAAGAGACTCAACTTCAATACAGAGTCTATGGCATTCACCAAATTGTTCTCTCGTTGTATTGATGCCATGACTCAGATTCTTCTTAATTTCAAGGGCAAAGAAGAAAAACTAGTTCCTCGTCGGAATTCAACATCTAAAAATTAAAAAAAAAAAAGAAAATAGATACAGGTTATAACAAAAATAAAAGCCGGTGGATAACGGAACATAGGACCTACATACTACATTATCTTAACCATTTCGTCCATCATCAAAAATCCAGGAGGGAACAAGTGGATCGTTGTCTCTCGGCGATCGTTGCCGATAGGTTTATAATTAGTATCTATCATTCCCAGAATTAAATCTCCCGTCCATGAAAGATAAGATTCATTAGCTTCTTAAATAAATGTAATATTTATTTAACTCCTAAAGCCGGATTCACATCGTGCCGTGTCGTGTCTTCTAAGATCATTTTCTCTGATTGGCTGAACCAAATTGTTACATCAAGGTTTACCGTATAATATATCACAAGTTACCTCATTAACCATAAGATACCGTAAAGTTGATTTTATCCAACTTTTGAGCGTGTGGCACGGATATAGATAATATATTATTATTATATTATATTATATTTATTATTTATATTATCTATATCCGTGGCGTGTGGTTACCGATTTTAATAGTAATAATTTAATATCCTATGATAACATTATTTATTAAAACAAAGGGCTCGGAAGGTGTTGTACTTGCATGATTTTATTAGGCTACTCAATTTATTGCTAAGTAACCTTGAAAATATTTTCATGACACTATGAAAAAACTAATGGGAACATTTTAAAAGAAAATTTTAAATTTCAAACTATTTGTTTTATTTTATTTTATCTTATATATTTATACCTAGAAATTATGAATAGCTTAGGATGCCCAGTCTACAAAAAACACGCCGCTTCTTTCCAAAAACAACAAAAAAAGGGAAGACTTTTTGACTATGAAAAACCTAATGGGAACATTTTGAAAGAAAATTTTAAATTTTAAGCTATTTATTTTATTTTATTTTCTTATATATTTATACCTAGAAATTATGTTTAGCTTAGTATAATACAATAACAACATTTGTACTGTTATGTACAAGTATATTTAATAAAATATCTTTATTAATGTACATTTTTGCGTTAAAAAAAAAATTAAATGCATATTTTTGAAGCATATTTGTACTTTTTTAAGCGCATAAGTGCATATATATTCAATACTTCTTAAGTGCATTAAGTTCCGAACCCTAATTATAATATAATACATACTGTCTACTGTATAATTTAATATTCATCAGTTATTATTGAAACTTATGAAAATATTTCTATTATATTAAAATCCTATCTAATAGAAAAACTGCGAAAATATGTAACCAAAATTTGATAGCATCACCATAAGATATATATTGGTATCACACATTTTCAAAGCACACGGTCTGGTAAAATACACGTACGGTGTAGTTTAACCCCGGCTTAAGTAATATGGTGCTGTCTCCTGGACCTCTTTAAAACAGCTATGATTAACAGGGATTAACATGTTTACCTCCAACCCTTAGTTTACGGTAAATTCTTTTTCTTCGCCTTTCTCATTTAATATAAATTAATGATTAAACCTAGCATTTTTTGCGTCGTCAACATATAGCTGAACACCACGTCGACCGCGTGATCGCTGCCCGCCGTTGCAGACCGAGTTTTGTGTGTCGAGGTTATCATAAAACTATTGAAGTGTGGTATATGGTTTAAGTTAACAACTACAAATATTTATCTGGTAACCAGGTATAAAATTATCATATGATTCTTATCAATTGAACTTGGTTTGATTTCTAATAGTTCTATCTCACATTTTAATTTTTCTCTTCGACATAATTTTATCATACAATTATACATGTGTATGTATTTGTATATATATATGAGGTTTTTATACTTATACTAAGTTAAATTGTGTTAGTTTGTGATTTAAAAAAATTCGATTAGTTCGACTTAATTTACCTACAATGTTTCGGACTACGCTTCAGCGTGCTGCACCTTGTATTCGGTTAGTTATTTCATCGGGACAAGTTCGTCCAAACTCTAACACTCCACCATCTAAACTTGAAGTATTTATAGATGACAAAAAAGTTTTTGTAGATCCTGGAACCACTGTATTACAAGTAAATTCAGTTTTCAGTTTTAAAAATGTTTATTACTGAGTATCACCTTTTGTTTTGTTTTTTTAGGCTGCTGCTCTCGCTGGTGTAGAAATACCTAGGTTTTGTTATCATGAACGTTTAGCTGTTGCAGGAAACTGTAGGATGTGTTTAGTTGAAGTTGAAAGATCACCAAAGGTATGGTTTCTTATTAAGTCTTTTTATATTACATTATATCAATATATTATATTCTGATGCATTATTCTCAAAATATTATTTTAGCCAGTTGCAGCATGTGCCATGCCAGTGATGAATGGTTGGAAAATTAAAACAAACTCTGAATTAACACGTAAAGCTCGTGAAGGTGTTATGGAATTTTTACTGATGAACCATCCTCTTGATTGCCCTATTTGTGATCAAGGAGGTGAATGTGATTTACAAGACCAGAGTATGGCATTTGGTAGTGATAGATCTCGTTTTGTTGATATTGATTTTAGTGGAAAAAGGTACTTTATTTTCAATGTTTTAATAAATAATAATAATGATAATAATTAGAAATACATTTTAGGGCTGTTGAAGATAAAGATATTGGTCCCCTTGTTAAAACTATAATGACACGTTGTATACATTGTACAAGATGTATTCGTTTCGCTTCAGAAGTAGCTGGTGTTGACGATCTAGGTACAACTGGCCGTGGTTCAGATATGCAGGTATTGAATCTTGCTATTAAATATTATTGAATCGTATGGAATACAATATTAGGTTTTATTGAATTAATAATATATTATTTATCTTGTTTGTTTTTAATTGTTAGGTTGGAACTTATATAGAGAAAATGTTTTTATCTGAACTAAGTGGCAATGTGATTGATTTGTGTCCTGTTGGAGCATTAACCAGTAAACCATATTCATTTACTGCACGTCCATGGGAGACTAGAAAAACTGATAGTATAGATGTTTTGGATGCATTAGGAAGCAATATTGTTGTTTCTACAAGAGCTGGAGATGTGATGAGAATATTACCCCGATTAAATGAAGTATTTTTTAAATAATGATATTTTTGTATTTTTAACTTTATTTGTGTAACTTTTATTTTAATAGGATGTAAATGAAGAATGGTTATCAGATAAATCGCGTTTTTCATATGATGGACTTAAACGTCAACGGCTAGTTACTCCATTAATCAAGGATAAACAAGGAAATTTAGTACCAGTTGGATGGGAAGATGCATTAGTAGCAACATCTAGAGCATTGATTAATGCAAAAGGAGATGTAAGAATTTTAATTAAATCAATTAATTTAATTAACTAATTTTTTATGTTGTTTTAGATTGTAGGTGTGACTGGTGGTTTATCAGATGCTGAATCCATGATAGCATTTAAAGATTTACTTAATAGTTTAGGAAGTGAAGAACTATATACAGAAGAACCTTTCCCAATGACTGGTTCTGGTACCGATTTTAGGTCTTCATACCTCTTAAATAGCAGCATATCCGGTAAGTTAAAGGTTTTAAAAATAATTTTAAAATTTAATATATATTTAATTATAGGATTGGAACAAGCTGATTTGGTACTTTTAATTGGCACTAACCCACGTTTTGAAGCCCCGTTGTTAAATACACGTATTCGTAAATCATATGTACACAATGATCTTGAAATAGCTCTATTGGGACCTAAAGTTGACTTGTCGTATGACTATGACGTAAGTCATATTTTAAATTTGTTTATTCTTTAATACAAACAAATGAAAGCAGTTAGTTTTACAGATATATATTTCTTCTTTTTTAAAACTATGTCTTATTATTTTTACATTTAGTATTTAGGTGAATCCCCAGCAACCCTTAAAGATTTAGCAGAAAAAAGACATCCGTTCTTTGCTAAACTTTCTAAAGCTAAGCGTCCAGTCATAATTTTAGGGGCTCAACAATTTGAACAAAAAGATGGTGCTGTACTTCTAGCCCAGGCACAGCAGCTTTCTCAAGAATTATCAAAAAACGTAATGAATTTTTCTATTTAATATAATTTTTTCATTGCTATTTGTATTATAGTAAAATTAAATAAATTTAGGCTGAAAAAGGATGGAGAATTTTAAATGTATTGCAACAAGTTGCTGGACAAGTAGCTGCATTAGACCTGGGTTATAAACCAAATTTTAATTTATGTGCTCCAAAAGTTCTCTATTTATTAGGGGCTGACAATGAAACATTAACAAAAAGCAAACCTACTGGAACTCTGGTTATATATCAAGGTAATAGGAAAATATTTTAACAAATTAGTATCACTTATGGTATCTTTATATGTTGTATATTTATGGTTGTAATTATTTTTCTATGGATTTCAATTGTTAGTAAATAATATAATATGTTATTGAATTTAGCTGGTGAACTTGACTAGTTAATTTAATCTTAAACAAAATCTTAATGTGATAATTGAATCATTCATTTTAAACATTAGACTAGTGAAAATAAAACAGGTTTTAAACCGGATTTTTAGGTTTTTTTTTTTTGTTTTATTTAACAGTCTTAAATAAAATTTAAATAAAATGGTATTTGAGTATACATGTATAATAATAAAAGATTAATATTTTACTACTTGTTCATTATTTTATAATGAAGCAATAATTATTCTTGAAATATAGATTGCAAAATATTATGTATCTCACTTAGAAATAATGGTTCCAAAGTTGTAAAAAAAAAAAAATAATCAAGACACTTTTTGTACAAACATTTTTACTAAAATAGACAAAAATAAAATAAATGAGAACATAATAGTTTTTGTAGGAAAAATTATTTACATAAGCATAGTTATAGATTGTATATTACGTATTAAAATAAAAAAAAATAAACATAAGCATAGTATTCAGGTTATACATAATTTCTCTAAAAATCATTCATAATAGTTTTAAAGCTTTTAAATAATTATCTAATAAAGTTAAAAAAGTACCTTTTTAAATGGTAAATTACTAAAATAATAAAAATAATTAATAAAACCGTAATCAACTGGATACCCTAAACTATACCTTTAATAATACAAAATAGATCTTGAAATATGTATTTAAATATTATTGAATTAATTTGTTAATATAAATTTAGGACATCATGGAGATGCTGGAGCAGCAATTGCTGATATTGTACTCCCAGGAGCTGCTTATACAGAAAAACAAGCAACCTATGTCAATACTGAAGGTCGTGCACAACAAACCTTGATGGCTGTACAACCACCAGGAATGGCACGTTCAGACTGGAAAATTATCAGAGCAATTTCTGAAGTAAGAATAAATACTTAAAATAAATACATATGTATTTATTGCACCTTACTTGGAAACCACAAATTTAAAATAAAACTGGCTCATAATAAACTAATAATATAATAATATTCACCTATTTCACCCTCTCTTAAATTCAATCTTAAACTTAAATACAGCACAATGATATGACTTGTCTGGCATGCAAATTTGGGGTCCAGTTATACCCTCAACCATTTGCCCTATTCAATTCTACCAGAACATACCACTCTAAATTATTTCTAGTGCTCCATAGTGTAATGATTGTTACATATTATTAATGTCTACTCATGTAATATGGATATTGCTGAGTAGAAATAACGTTAATTTACATGTTTACGATATTACATTAAGTCGCGGCAGTACTGCCACGACGTTCTTCTGATGTAGCTGAACTCCATATTGTCTTGATGTAGTCCATAGTCCGTAAGTCTTATTTATATATGTATATTAAATAATAATAACTAAACTAAATCAATCTACATTTATTTGTAATATCAAGATCTTTCCTTTTATGCTCTCGAGATACGGTATAATATATTCACAAGGACTAGAAAATCTTTCCTGAAATCATATATTTTACTGGTCATCCCCGACCACGTTACAATATTATATGACTAATTTAATTATAACTATTTTAATATTAACTAATTATTCACTATATAAATACTTGAAAATTAAAAATGTCACAAAATTAAAGAAATGCATTACAACCAATTATATGGTCAAACCCAAATTAAATACTTCTCATCCAAATATGGCAACAGCATAAAAACCCAATAATTCTCCTCGCAAACTAACTGAATTGGAATTAAATTTACTTGTGTAATTCAACAGGCAATGTAATTAATATTTGAAGGTGTTACCTCTGGATGACTTGTTCAAAATAATTTTTTATGGAACCTTTATCTATATATATACATGTATATTGATATCTTATTTACTTAATGTACAAAAAAAAAATTAAAGTTGTTTTATATTTATGATAAAAAAAAAAAATGTACATTTGTTTGTTATTCCAGTTCGTGGGTGTAAAACTTCCTTATGATACTTTAAATGAGGTACGTGACCGTTTAACTGATGTTTGTCCAAGCATGACTAGGTATGGAGATCTAGAACAAGCAAACTATTTGGCACAGGCTGCAGATTTAGCTAAAGTAACTAAATACATCCTTTATTTTAATATTATTTTTATTTAAATCATTTTTTTTTTTTTTAGGATTTATCTGCCCAATCTGCTACTAAACCATTAAATGTGAAACAAATTGCATTGGAAGATTTCTATATGACAGATCCCATAAGTAGATCTTCACCCACAATGGCTAAATGCATACAAGCAGTTAGGAAACAAAAAGAATCGAAATATTATGAAAGTGCAGTTTAAAAAAAATGAGCTTACATAATTTTGACACCTTTTATGTAAGCAAGCATATTGAGATAATAATTTTAGAATATAGAATATTATACATTTTGAAATTTTAGCTATGCTAAATATATTTATAAAGAAAAATGCTGGTAAATATATTTTATCATCTGAAATTTTATTTATGTTGATAAAATACTTCAATTTAAACATAATGGTACAATAATTATTATTTAATATTAACAGTAAATTCACTAATAATGATATAATTTAGTTTTGATTATAGTAAATGCACAACAAGAATTAATTGAATAATTATTATTGATTAAAAAACATAGAATACAATTTTCCTATTCATAGAACGCCGTTTTTAAATATCTCTCCAAGCCATAACAATTTTTTGGAATGGAACAAATTGACCATTATTAATTCCACTGAAAAGTTAAAATATATTAATTGAATGTTTGAAATAAAATGTTTTTTTTACTTACCATTCAAAATATCTTATCCCATTTAATGATCCATCACAGTCTCCAATTTTATGATCAAATTGAACTCCTACTAGTGGCTCAGTGTTATTAGCCACATGACCTATGTATCGTAATCGTCCGCCTACTACTTTACCAAAGTTAGTTATCACTTTGACTAAAGCATTCAGTTGAAGATCATAAATGGATTTAGGCAAATAAGGTTTACCATGCATAGACATTGAACAACATTCTAAAAAAATATATACTTTTATACTTTTCGCTAAATATAAACACTGAAGATGAAATTAAGATTTAAATTAAAGATTTTAGCTCAGAATTTATAAAAATTATAAATTATTAAGAAAATAACAGACAAAATAATTAACTAAAAATAATATTTTAAAACAAAAATTTTTAAATAGCTATGAAGAAACTATGAAAATATTTATCAATATTGAAGATAAATAATGAAAAATAATTCTCTAACCTATATTATTGTGATACGGTTCTGAATAACGTCTGTGCTTTTTGCATTCCTTTACATATGTAGGGCATCCAGTGATAAGAGAATCTATTGCATTACGTACAGTACATTCAGATTCTTCTATAAGTGAATCAGTTGAATCACCTTCAGATTTTCTTAAATCTGGCATCGATAAACGCACTTTACCCAATTCTAAATAATTTTTCATTATTAAACTTCTATTTAATTCTTTTAAATAGTAATCTGACCTTTAAATGATACTCTATTTTTTATTTTTTTTGGTATTTCATCTTCTGCTTTTAATGTAGCAGTAGATGAATATTTTACATCTTGTAAGGATGCACATGGTTCACATGGTACACTAGCTGAACGTCTACATTTAGTAGGTGAAGATGGTACAGATGACCATGAAGCATTATGGCGTGCTTCCAATGACATTACTGATGGTCTTACTTGGCATCGGTAACATGATGAATGTACTGAAAATACTGAACCAAAATCATACCGTGAAGATGATGAACCAACTGAATAATAACCAGGACTTCTTGGAAATCTATAAAAGAAAAACAATAAATTATTAAGGAAATAATAAATTTATTCTTTAATAAAATATTTACTTAGATCTTGATGGTTCACGACTAATTGGTCCAGGTTGTCTACATAAATGGTCTACACTTCTTGATAACTCAGGTACCATACTTGTAAAATTAATATCTGACAACATAACCCTTCTTGATTCTGTTGTTTTTTTGGACACACGCAAACATTGTTTTCTTGTATTTTTATCTGCTGGTACAATAAATTTTGATGGTAGTGTTGTGTTTGGTGATGTAGTTTTTGTTTGATTAATTAAAAATCCTTCAGAACGCCATTGCAAAGGTAAAGCTGTAATATCTGTTTGTGCTTCAACTTCTTGTGTTTTTAGAGTAATATCTTTTAAAATTGGCCTTAAAGGGCTAAGATATTTCGTATTGGTCATTTCTTTGGAATTTGCTCCACACTTTGAAATATCTGTCTCCAATACATTATCGAAAGAAACAAGATCTTCATTGGGTGACACATTTACAGTGTCATCTGTTGTAAATATTAACTCAATTTCATCAGTTTCTTCAGAATTTTGACATACAATCTAAATGATACATTAAAATGCTGTAACTTGTGTGATAATTTAAAAAAAGAAAAAAAATTTAAATTTCATTCATCTTAGATTTTAAATATTTGGGTAAGCTAAAGGATTGTGCTCTATTCACAATTGGTAAACAAAATTGAGTAAATGTCTACCTTTTTATCATCCATGGCGCTACAGGATTTCCTGACTAATTCCAGTTCAGCTTTTGATCGTTCAAGAGCTGTTCTCAATGCTATTACTGTCTTATGTAATGACCGCACTGTGTCCAGATCAAAAAGACTTCCATCCTCACCGTCAGTAGCCATTTACACAATCTATTCATTATTAATACCGTAGTAACATAATATTACATTCTCATAACAAATAAAGGAAAATTATACTCCACGCTACTAACAATATGGGTCTGCGACGCATGACCGAAGTATTGATTTAATTTTAGCCATACACTCATACAACGACGTCACGGAGATCATATAGTACTGTTTTTATTCCATGATTTTAAAACACCATTCCGAATATGACAATAATCCTTAAAAATTCACAATAACAAATACTAGATGAATTAGCCCAAAAGTTTTCTAAAAACCTTTAATGTGCGATTAAATGTAACTGACGACTGTACCTACCTACCTCGTACAGTAATTTAGATTAGTTATTAATAGGGCAGAAAACTTGTAATTCTAAACAGCACTAAGTATGTAAGCACTCATACAATTAAACACCCTGTAATATGTACTAAAAATATGCACTTATATTTTTTTTAATGTGATTTATTAAAAAAAATATATAAATTATTTAAATTTGGGTAACATTAAATCGTTTTCACATTCTACTTTAACGTCACAATAATTACAGTATACTGTAAGTACACTACCTATCCTATAGTGTCCTGCAGAATTATACCGTTAGTCAAAAAAATATCGATACCAAATTTCGATAAATAACTGCATAAAATACTGCTAATCAATCGGCATTTTAATATTAAAACAGCACGCAAAGACGAAAATCTAACATGAATTACGAATAGACGCACATACAGAGATTGCATATAGCCAAGACTAAATTACTGAAATATTAAATTATTAACGAACGATTGACAAGGCAGTGTAATGACAATTTTTGGTGTCATTTGTGCGTCCTATCGGGAATTGTATGATTTAGACAACATGTTTACTGATTATAAACTAAAATCGCCAACATTCGAGACGTATTTATTAAGATAAACATTCGTCTGCAATTCATCAACAACCTTATTGCATGATCAAAATTTAAAATTATTTTTATCTCTACAATATTGTGATCGTATATTAGATGAAATAAAAACATAAACAGAAAAGTGTTGATAAAATGATAATTTATTTAAATTATACTTACTTAATATAATATTATTTACTGAAAGGAAGCAATATGCACTAAAAACAAAAAATAATCATAATAGGCATTTATATAAAAAATAAAATGTTAAGACTACTCGTAGCTTTATGGAAGCATGAAACGACATTTCAGAAATGTATTTGATTCGTACTCTGCTGTTTTTGTGATTTTGCAAAACAAATATGCAAATATTGCAAATTCTCTGCCATAGTTTATTACTTTATGGAGTATTCACTGAGCAGGGAGTTGAATACTTTCCGGAGCGTGGCGACAGGATTATTTGTAAGAAAAAAAAATACATTTTTGGTATTTACCCACCCTTTAAAAATTGATAATGTCCTTCTATTTATATTTATTAGAACGTCTTAATTTTTGCAAATTAGTAATAAACATTTCTGTTTACTGAACAATTGGTACCTTTTTTTTCTGTTTGAGCAGATACTGTTTTCACATTAGTACCGCTTGGCCCCAACCGGATACCTGACCTAGTTTACTATGCCTAATAAAAATTATAGCACAAAAAAATGTTATTAAATGGCCGGTATAAAAATAAAAATTTACGGCAGATTCGTTCAGCGTAGTAGGGGATACCCACCAACCCTTTAATATTTGATACAGGCATTCGTCGGTTTTGGACCCCTCTTCGCCACGCCACTGGATACATTGGTACGCCATATAATAGGACGTTTTGGAATTAGGCCACAATTCACTTTTTTTTAAAAAGTTATACGGTAATTGGACCACTAAAATTTTACATTTTTTTTCTTCAAATCCATCAATTACGGTTTTAATAAATTGAAAATATTCACAGAAGTATACTGTAATTTCTATCCAAGTTTTCAACGTGTCAGTATTAGTAAAGGAATAGTTGAACCAATAAATTTAAACTCCAAAAGGTGCTTAAAAGAAAAATGTCTTTACATTTAAAATTTGTAATAAATAAAAACCCTATATAACATAAGGTAAGATTCGTACGACATTTTTATTTATTATTTATAAATTATTTATCAAATTGGTTTATATAATAAAAGCATTCCCAATAAATTCGCGTAAACCCGTGTATCACATGTTATTTTATAAGTACACGCACTTATGTCCAAGATTACGACTACTTCATGGTAAAATTTAATTTGAAGTATTTGACAATAATAAACGGTGTTAGGGTTCATACTTGCTAATTTTACTCCGGGGCCCCGATTTTTCATAGTAAATCGTGAATTAACTACAGATTTTTGCTCGACTTTTTGTTAACTGTGGGGTTCCATGAAGCGCAGGAGCCTGTGCCACTGCACAGCAGTGGCGGTTTTGGCGCCTCAAGGCTTAATCATTTTGCTCCTCTCCTATCACTCTACTATGGAACCAACAATATTTGGTTTAAACCATTCTCTTCAAATTTTATTCAGTTTTTTTATCAAAAAAAAAATAAAATAAAATATAAAATCTTTAAAATAGAAAACTTCTAAAAATTAAATATTTCATGTCTATTATTTTACTTCAGATACCATTATTACCAGTACGAATAAAAAATGCTTATATAGTCACATAATGGAAATATAAATAGCCGGATTTGAAAATATCTATACTCAGATAGTCGGATGTTCCCAATGACTACATTGGTACTAATAAGTTATTAATAATAACTAGTAACTAACTGTAATTATTTTATTACAAAAGAAATATTTTCAAATTGTAATAATAATTGTAATATTCTTACTATAGCTTGTAGATACGCATCATACAATGTACATATTAATATATTATTATAACTTTTTAAAATTATTTTTATTCGTGTTTGTATGACAAATATAAAAATAATATACTAAAATAAATATAACTAATAAGTCAATAATAACACTTAAGTCTATAAAAAAAGCCACCCTCTCAAAAAAGTCGCCCTAGGCTATAAACATTTTAACCTGCCCCCTAATCCACCACTGCCGCACAGCTGGCACACTCCTAACTCCGCCAATGTCATACTTTGTATATAATATCTATATGTAACAATGTTACATTATTTTATATATAACTAAACTGTACTACTGGGTTTCGGCTCATTTTTATGAACTTTCAAAATAATTAATTTGAATAAAATATTATTGTTATTATTGTTACTCTAAAAATACTAATAAACTAATTTGTAATATTAATAAAATAAATACAAATACTACCAAAGAACAATCCAACAGTAAGTCAATGGGCCACCACCTAAAAATAAAAATTACTGCTTAATACATGTGTAATCAACCATATCCAGTTGAAGTCAAGTGAAGATAACCCGAAAAAAGTAAACTTTTTTATCTTAAGCTTACTTTTATACACGAAGTTGTACATCTCAGTGACAGAGTTCTTGGTGAACAATAACTGACTCCCAATCAGTTGACTCTCATGTCTCATTATCCAATAATATGACTACATTTACACTACTCATCATCTAACCATCACATGACTAACTATATTTTTATAGCTTATAACACTAGCTAAATGATTCTTCATCTTACAATACTATTTCTAACTCATCAGAACAAACTTCCAATCATGATGCCCCTGGTATTCTAATAATTGATTGATCCTTTTTTTTTTATTTCACAGCTACCAATACAACATTAGTACTTCCTTTTCATCGGACGACTTTGTTAAAACCAATTAAATCTAATTATAATAATATTCAATACAAATATGTTTATAAAATGTGTTTCATAAAACTAGCGCCTGTCCGTGGCTCGTCTGAAACAACTTTCTTTCAGTGTACCCGAGGGCACATTCAACATTCCTAAATTATAATTAAACAATGTAGGTAGATTTGAATGTAGGTAGATAGTCCTTCAATAATTCAATTAAATTTAATCTCAAATTTGAATGTGAATAGGTATGGACTAACTCATTTAGGTAATATATTACATAGGTATTCATAATCAAAACATCTTATAACCAATTATATATACTGCGATAATAAATTAATTATTTATGTATGGCCAAAGTCCCAAAAATATCATTATGTAACTTTAATGAAAAAAAAAAAAATTGTTCATTTATTCATTATTAGGTAGATGTTATTATATTATTCATTAATAAGTATGAAAAAATAAAAATAATAACAAAACGTTGTATGTTTTTATTTAATACTTAGTTTTTATGTTATTAGTTCTCAATGTGTGACTTAGACAATTGACATATGATACACGGGCGAATAAATTATTAATGTGTAATTTGTAATGCGTAAACAATGTTTATGTTCATATACATGAATACATACAGGTATTGAATAAATAAATAAAACAATTCTCATCAATACGTTATATTTTAATTAAAAAATTTCCTTTAAATCATGTATGCAACTATTTTAGTATTCCTAATTTTGTTATTAGTTAAATTTAAATAAGTAATACTTAAATCATCGACTTGATAATTTGGTAGTTATGTCTATTTCTGTCATAGGGTTAAAACAATGGTTATGGATTCTAAATATTATGTCGAATTATTATAAATTATAATGATAGTTTAATGTTATGTGGTATTTTTTAGTCAACTAATTATCAGTTGGTACGCTTAGTTTTTATCATATACTTTAATAATTTTGTAAGACAGTTTAAAATCCGATTGTGATTACTTATTATATTTGTAAACATTTACTTATGTATTTAACAGTTTAATTGTATAGTGTATTAATTATTTTTAACACTATACATCCGTATTACAATAAAATAAGATAAAACCATAATTCCTGTTAGCCTTATTTACAATTGTGAATCATTTTTCGATCGGTGTTAATATTTTATTTTATTGATATAATTACAAAATAATTTCAGATTGCCTGAAGACATTTTGTATCTGATACTTTTTTTTTGTACATAAGTATCAAATATCAATTACAAAAAACAGGGATGGACCAAGAAAACATAACAGATTCACGAATAATTAATTTTCAAAATAACCGGGTAATAATTAATTATTATTTTTTTTTAAAAAAATATAATAATTTTAGAATAGTATAATCTTGTTATGTGTTATTAATTTAATTTATTAATTTTAAGTGTTTTGTATCACAACAATATATAATTCACAGAATAATATTAAATATAGCATAAAATGGTTGTGAAATTTATATAATTTTTTTTTTTTCTTAAGATATTGCCATCAAAATTAAAGTTAGGTTACTTATAATTTTTAACGTAAGAATATGGTACCTATATGTAGGTACTCTTATGTTTGTCTTGATTATATTTTATTTGTCATATTATTTACAAAGAAAATGTTCTTAATTTGAATTATAATTTTTTATTTTCTTGATATTATTTTGTTGTTGTGAAGTTTGAGTAATTGAAAAAAATGGTTTTATTTTTATTAGCAAATGGTTATATTTTATTGACTAAAAATAAGTTTTTCGTTTTTTATGGATTAAAAATTATAGTTAAACTTACCATAGCTATTTTAGACGGTTTAAAAATCAGAAAATTTGACGAAGTTACTTTCACAAATATTGAAAATTATTTTGTTTATCTTTAGTTATGTCTTATGCTAAAAACTGATTATATTAAATAAGTACTTAATTTTATGTATGAAGGATTTTAATTTTAATACAAGTATATAAAATATATTGCAATGTTAAAATTGAAAAGTTAGTCATTATTAGGGTGCGGATTTTTATGTAATAAAAAAGTCAAAATATGTAAATATTTATGTTCTAATTTTTGCTAAAATATGTATTAAAAAACGTAAAATATTGAACAAAAAAATCAATATTTTCCATTAATTTTTAATTATTAAATTATAATTATTCATTTAATCATCTTCATTGTTGTCTTCTTCGGAACAATGCGATATGATGTGCATTTAAAGATTTTCAAATTTTAATGTATGGCTGTTAGATTTCAAAGTCGACTTGTAGCGGCTGAGGCTGCATTCGACTTCAACCGAGGTTAATGGGGCATATTTCATACCACATATATCGGATGGAGTTACTTCAATATAATTTGACATATTTTCATTTATATTAATAAGATTATATCTAATAATTTTAATTTTTTTGTAAACCAATGTATTACCCAGTACGTAGTTTAATTAATTTTTATTATAACTCTAGATTCTCCTTGAACTTAATTTCATTGAATTTTTGCATTTTCCACTATCGCGAAACTTTCAATTATTGTTAGATTCAATGATTCTAATATTTTATTATTATAACCAAAAAAAAAAAATTTTTTGGAAATACATGTTTCATTATTTTGCAAGTTATTAATTTACATAATATCAGAAGTAATAGCAATTGTAGTATCTGAATCAAAATTTGAAATATCTTCTTTCATTTAATTCCAATATAATAATTGTAAATTAAATAAAAACTGTATTTTAATGGTATGAAAATGTGAAATATTTACAAAATATTTAAATATTAATGAAATATTTAAAAATATGTATTTACATCAAAATATGTGAAAATATGTAAAATAAAAAAGGTCTCATATAATTCAGAGTGTTATGTAATGTGCTTATTTTTAATTAGAATTGAGAAATTTACATTCAATAAATATATGTAATTACTAGGGCTCAGATTTCAGTGCATTTGCATCTTTTTTTTGGGATGTCTTATGCAATGCTTTCCAAGCTATAAATTCGTTTCAGGTACTACGTGTTCTACCTGCAAACATTTTTTGCATTTTTTTGCATTTTTAGCGGATTTTATACTTTTTAGAGCATTTTTGACGTTTTTAATACATTTTTTTTATATTTTAGGACATTTTTGACCTATTTCTTGTATTATGACTAACTTCAGTTGATGTTGAGAGGTCATTTTCAGTATATAAAAACTTATTGGCAAACAACCATTAATCATTCAAATTCCAAAACTTAAAAGAAATACTAATTGTACAGTGCAATTTAAATATGTAATTTAATTTTTAATTCAATTTTTGATTGTAATTTTATTTTTATTTTTTGTAGTATAATTATAATTGTAAATAAAATTTCATTTTTTACTCATTTTTTAATAATAATTTAAATTTATTTAATAAATGATGCATTTTTTGATATTTTTAGGAAATTTTATAGATATTTTTAGGGCATTTAAATCCGAGCCCTAGTAATTACATAAAAATCCGCGCCCTAGTCATTATTTATGTAAATATCCACTTTTACTCTGGATACATTTTTGAAAATAATAATTTATCTTATAATTTAAAATTTATATAATCAACACAATGTATAATAAACATTAAAGCATTTCAGTATCTAACCAATTTTTTATTTTAAAATTATTCTGTCCATTTATTTTATTTACATTTAACTAAGTTACAATAAAGTTTATTGGTAAAGTATTATAATTTATATAATTTAAAAGTGCCAATTTGATAATTTTGATAATCAAGTTTTTAATTAAATTGTTAAATTTATTTATTTATTTATTTAAATAAAACTATAAAATAATTTCAATTAAGCAAATAATCAGTTGTTGTAAAAAATAATTATTTCTACTCGTAATTAATTGAATAAATAGTATTTAAATGTACTATTTGTTTAAAATTTTTTATATTAAAGTTATCAAGTATTTTTATTTTCTCATTATCAGCATTGTGTTAGTAAGGTAACAAGGCAATATTAAATCTTTTTTAAAAAAACCGGTATGTAACAGTATTAATATTTCATCATATTAATTAAAAATATAAAATATTTTTCTTCGTGTTACATTAGTTAATACCTATCGCACTTATAAGAGTTTATTTTTGTCCAAGAAGCCTTTCTACTAAACAAAAAAATCCAGCTGTAAATGTGCCTAGAATATTAGGTTTATGTTATTATGATATAGAATAAAAGTATAATTTTAATTTGGTTAGGGTCAGGAAAGGTAAAGATTAGGCTCTTGACCGGGTCATTCCTGGATATTTCAACGAACAATTATTAAATAAATAAACTATAAACAAAAGAAAATGATTTAAAATATATGTTTAATGTATATGATAATTCTTTATTAATATTATTATTATTAATTTTAAATTTCACCGCTTATATTATCATATGTTTTTATAAAACCACTAAGTTAATTATGTTGATTTACAAACTGTTTATTGATTTTTAAAATATGTGATTATATGTCCTATTACAGTATCTTAAATTTTTTACACTTGAAAGGGTTCATAAAAACATTTATTATGAAACCTTTTTGTTAACAACAAATTGAATTTTGTGGTCACTATATTTTAAATGTAACTTACTTTTCGTGTAAATGGAATTCCTCAAGTTTCTCCTTTTTTCTCCAGAACGATGTACATTTTCATATTCTTTAACTGTTACAACACTGCATGATACTAAAATTTTATCAAGAAGTAAGAACAAAATTATTTAACATATCTTGTTAGTGAAAATTGGATTTTCCTTATAATACTTAGGTGGAGATATTCATGATGAAAAATCAAATGAAGATAAATCATGCAATTATTCCCATTTGTATTATGCAGTTTATAGTGATTCTGTATTGTCTAAATCTCAGGTAACATTGATGATAAAATCATTTTTTAAATGTAGGAAGATATTTTTTACCAGAAAAAACATACCAATTAGCATACCGACTTATTGATTTAAATATTATGGCTAGTTATTGTTTAACAATAAATTTCATTAATTTTAATTAATTTGTATATCATTACTTGTGTTAATGTTTGACTTCAAGTATATTATAGATTCTATAACCATTACACTTTAAATAAATGTAACTTATTTTATTTATTATTTATTTTTTATTTTATTATTTTTTTTCATACTATAATATTCTTATACATGTTTATTAAGTTTGTAAGTATTATATATATAAGTTCAAGATTATTAAATTTGGTTTATTTTCTATAAAATATTTGTATGAAGTATGCCTAAATATATGATTCAATTTTAACATTTAAATTATGATTGTGTTTCAGTTATGTTATGTTGGCCAAGAAGTTACATGTATTCCAGAAATACTTGGGAAAATGTATGGATCTAAAGTCAAGTCTTTGGATTTAAGCTTTAATAATTTGACAACTTTAAATCATTCAGAGCTATTTTCTGATTTAGAAGAATTTGTCTTGGATAATAACAATCTTAATGATAATATTAAATTACCACGTTTACCAAATTTACAAATACTTTCAATGAATAATAATAATAATGTAATATTTTAATAAATTAATACGTAGTATTTATACTTCTGTATATTACCACTAAAACTATAATTATTGTACATATAACAGATTTAGAAAACTTAGTAACTCAAATAAAATATTGTATGCCATCTTTGAGATTTCTTAGCTTACTTGGAAATAAAGCTTGCCCAACACAACTGATAGATTTTGAAAAAGATGAGAATGATTATAAAAGATATAGGTTATACAATTATTTTTTTATTTAAAATGAAATGAGTAACATAAAAATTTAATTTTGTTCTTCATATTTATTTTAATTTTAGGTATTCTGTTTTATATTATTTACCAGAGTTGAGATTTCTTGATTCAAGACCAGTTACTAATGAAGAATTAGATGCTGCAATGACTAAAGGCGAATATACCAAAATCATTCGTCCGGTAAATATTGTTATAGAATTAAATTTTACTAATTGTTAATTTTTATGTTAGAAATAATATTTATGCACCAATTAAGGTTTTTTGGATAAATAAAAAATGAAATCATAAATTAATTTTTTTTTCATTTTTAGAAACGTTTAAACGAACCACTTGACTGGAGATCAACTTGTGGATCCCAATCTAATGGAAATATATCAAATATTTTCTCACCACTTTCTGCTATTCCAACACAAGAAATACATCATCAAGGTATATTATTATGAAGATATTTAAGTAAATTAGTATATTCTAATTAGTTTTAACTAATATTTATTTTATATTTGAATTAGCTGCTTATGGTCGACGTCGATTCCGTTATACTGGAAAACAATCTGAGGGTAATCGTTTTATTTTAAATAGAGATTTATAAATTTTTGTTGCTCCATTTAACATAGCTGAGGAAACTAAGTTATAAACAAGGTATTATTATTTGCAATTAATTCAAACTACTTCAATTTTTATTTTATTTATATATTTTAATACTGTGTTATTGACTTATAAGCCATTTTAAACTATGGTTATTTTACTTTCAAAGAATATATATTCTATACAATATACAATAGTTAAATTTATTTTATTTTATATTAATTAAATAAAACTAAATTTATTAATATTGCATTAACATTTTGTAATTTATATTAAAAAGTAGAGCTATTTATAGTCTGTTAATGATATTTTATTTGTTTCTCCCATTATTTTTTAACCATACATAACATATGAAGAAATTGAAAAAATGACATATTTATTGTAAATATTATGCTTTTATATTTTCTAAATATTATTGATCTGTCATAATTATGTATCATATTTTTAAATATATTCTATTTTAAATAAATGATAAATTTATAATTTGTTAACTTTTAAAATTAAATAAAATCATATAAATTGTTTATTTATTGATTTGTCAGATTTTTTAATATATTCAGCATTTATATAGTTATAAGGTACCTAATAGGTATTTATAACTTGGAACAATAGTTATTAAATACTGAATAGTTATCTTTAACAAAATTAATTTCTTATAGATGAAACTAGAAATAATAAAACCTTAAGATTGAAAATAAATAGAATGAGTAAATTTATGTTATAAATAACAGGAGGGATCCAGTTTTTTTTTGTGGAGGTGCAATAACATACTTCCACACTTTCACTACACAATAAATATAAAATTATATTATTTTTATAATTTTATAATACTCTAGTTAGTAGATGGAATAAACTTTGAAAAATAATCAAAAACTCAATACATTATATTATACATAGCACAAACCTAATTTTAGTGATTTTAAGGAGGGTGTATGTCACCTTCGCCCTTCTATGAATCCGCACCTGATACATAAATATAAATGTAAGCTAGTTCGAAAAAAACAATTTTGGGAGTAATTTGATTGCGTTTGAATTTGGTATTTCAGCAAACATATATTTTATTTTATTTTACTCTCAGGTAGCTTATATTTGTATGTTTTTTTATTGTATATATATTATATTTTATGATGATTATTATTTAGAAGAATGGGTAAAGTTAAATATTATTTTGAAAGGGTTTGTAATTTTGAATATACAATAACTGTTACATCAAAATATTTAGTATACATATTATATTTTTTATTGAACATTGCTAATTTTGAGTTAACTTTAAGCTAGCTTTGATTCAAATTATTTTTAAAGTGCGTTGATTATTATTACTGTCAAAAAAAATACAAAAAACACTTAAATGGGATTTATATTCAAAAAGTCTATCTTAACAACTTATTTATTAGGTATATTGGTATTTAAAAAGTGTGTTCTATTAAACTTGATATAATGAATATTTAATGTAATTTCATTTGAGTTACTGGTTACTTTTCTGGTATAACATTTTTAAGATTGGAATCTTTGGATCATTTTTAATAACATTTTAGGTAGACCTTGAATCCTCAAATAAAGCTTTTAATCTGCTGCTGTATACATATATTCAGTAGTGGCACAAAGTTCATTTTCTAATGAAAAAATTTCGTGTATCTAGTACTCACTCCAAGTCAAATATTTAGATTCAGAGTAAAACGTTTAATACTGTTATTATTATTATTTTTTTTTTTTTTGTGAATACTATTTTGTATATTGATACTTATTCAACCATTTATTGCAATAGATACCGTTAATGTCAGAAATCTTGTGTTCAATCTTTTGTTTTTACTACCTATGCTTTATACTAATCAAAATCAATGATTATTACGTTTCAATTGTACTTGTAGGTACATGAATATTAAAAATAATGAGTCCAAACATAATCATATACAATAATATTTTATGTAAAATATGCAAATTATAAATTAAACTTTTCTGTTGCGTAACATTAACTATCAACCCCATTTTAGTCATGAAACAGCTGCTTCAATAAAACCTATATCGCGCCACCATTACATATGTATATATGTATATGTATATGTGTATAAATCATTATTTCTTAGCCATTGTATCATGACACAAAATAAGTAAACGTTTTTGGTCTAATGAAATAATTTGTGTTTAGTTTAAACCTTATGCATTTAGGAATTCCAATTTAATTATTCCTAATTAAAATATTGCTAAATACATATGTTCATCACATTATGTAAAGTTTTTGGGCCATTTTTTTTTTTTTATGAAATATTGCTTTTATATAAAGGTTCAAAACACTGACATAAAACGTACCATAATTAATATTTGTAGATCTAAGTTAAAAATAGCTTTTTTGGATGTTAAATAATTTATATAAGTAATTAGTAAATTAATGGTATTAATTAATGACTAACATTAATCATATTGAATCATATTATATACTATATAAGTAGCATATTTAATGATAGTTGAGATAATGTATAAATATAAACACGAATATATTAATTACTGTGTTCAAAGTGTATATATCTATCGTATTTTCGGTCTCTTGTCAACAATTTAATTAAGAATACCGATCAGAACGTCCTTTATTGGCATCTGCAACTAGGACACGTACTCAAATGCCAGTCAGTTGACCAAACACACTAATGCACATTTACGGAGTAGCTTGACAATTATTGATGGCACAGTTGTTGAGTATTGTTTTTAAGAAGAATGACCTTTACTCTTCCTGGGGTTTTCAAGTATGCGGCGGAAGAGACAGTTGGCGACCATTAACCGTGAGAAATGTGAGTAAAAAAATGACCTTAAAATAATAAGAATTCTAAAATATTTATTTGTAGGTACAAACTGGTACTTTAGCGTGCAATTATTTAAATGTCGGCGATCGTGTTTTAGAAATAGACAGCATAGATTGTTATTCATTAACTGAATCACAGGCAATCAGTTTCCTTCGAAGGCCAAGTAATACTATTGAACTTTTAATATTAAAACGACGAGGGGAAAACGTTGTACCTCCTAAACGATCATCAAGTTGTAAAGCTCTACAACATTATAATTTTCCAAAATCACAAAGTATTTCAGAATCTAGTTTCCTTCCTCATCATCATAATTGCAATAACAACCTTGACATCACTGATCCAGAAAAAGATTTGCATGCATCCAACGTTTCAGAAGAATTTTTGAACCAATGTTCTGAAGAATCTAAAAAGGATCTCGATTCAGTTCCAATAAAAAATCATAATAATGAAACCTTGCCGTTTTCCAACTTAAGACCTCCTAGAAATGCGTTACAAAAAGACGGCGAACCTTTACGTCTTAGAAGTCGTTCAAGTTCACCACAATTCTGGAAATTTAATTCAAAAATTTCTGTCACTGGATTTTCTAATGATTGTAAACATTTTTGGAAAAAACTGGAAAAATGCTCTATGGAAGACTTAAGCGCTCGTCGCTCACCAAGCCCAGTGCGACCGGCAAGCGTGGCATTCTATCCCAAATCACCTGAACCTAATATTCAGCTAAAGGCTGATATCGTTTCGCCAAAGAAAAAAGTAATCAAATGATTTATTACTATTTAAATATTTATGGTGTAATCATATCTTATAATAATACAGGTGACTTTTAGTAATATTTTACTGGAGAGAAATTATTTACAAATGGAACTACCGGACTTATCCCCGGGATCAAAAGTTGACGAAGAATTCAATAAAATATATAATAGTTCAAAACAGGATGAACCGTATGTATTAAAAGAAACTTAATTGAAATTAATCATTTAATTAGAAATAAAATAATCAAGATGATATAATTTTATGGAAATTAGTTAAAATGAATTATTTGTTATTAGAGCTAATGATTTTATTTTATAAAATTGGAGTTTATTTAAGTGTGAATAATTATTTTAATTGAATCTATTACCTATGGGTTTTATCTAATTTCTGGATTCATTTAAACGGAATTAACACCATATGAGCTTGAAAAAATTGTATTATTAAATTTAAAATGATCATATTTATAATTTGTTTAGAGCCTATAATTTTTGATTTTTACTGAAAACGTTTGTAGAGCTTCTTCATTATCCAACTAATTAATGTAATTTATTTAAACCACGGTTATCGAAAAAAATGAATGGGTTGATATCTTTGCACATGATTTAACTATATCTAAAGTTAATATCTGATTATCTGGAATATGTACATATTTATATTTTATATTGAAATCTAAAGCATTAGTCGGTAATATAACCGTTTTTGTATTTTTATAATAATTGTGTCTAAATATAAACAAACTAACTTATGCAAATCTAAAATTTGAATTTCTTTAGTAAAATTTATTATTATTTTTTATGAAAAAATGTGAATATTTTTTTCTGTTGGTTTTAATACATACCATTAAATTGGACTTAAAGTGATGGATATTTATGTACATAACTTGCTAGTTTTATGCACTTATATTCTTATACATTATAAATAATAATAATAATAGTTTTATCCATTTATTTATGAAACCAAAACTTTTCTATTAAAATTATGATTTATTAACTGTTGATATTATTATCAATAAGCTCAAAACGTATTTAAATTTTAACAGTTTTCTATTTATTATATTAATAATTTTTTGAAAACAGTAAAATATTTTAATTTAATAAATATTATTATTCAACATTCTTATAATTTTATAATTGTATATTTTGTTTTTCGTATACAATTGGTTATAGACAAATAGTCTCACTTTTGCTGTACAAAAATAGCATTGCAAAAATAACAGACTAGGGCCAACATTAGTATGTTAAAAATAACACTTTTGAATACACAACTTTGGTAGTGGTGGTGGTACATTTTGGCTATCTTCAATGTCCAGTTGGAAGATTAGTCATTTTTATACAAAAAAAAAAAAAAAAATGAGAAGAAAGAAAATGTTCAGTGTTAATTTAGTGTAAATTTGTTTGTCCTGTTAGACATGAGTTTAGAAGTATCCGTTCCCTGGAGGTATATATACAATTTTATTTTATTTGTTATTACTAAATAATTTGACTACTACTAATAATAATATTTCAAACGATATTTTGTACACTCGTTATGTACTGAATTAAGCTACTGGGTAATGCATAAAGAATGTGTGTGTGTGTTTACTATATATAATAGTTAAATACTGTATAATATATATGTTAAAGAGCTAAAATATACAATTATTATAAGTTTTAAATGTGTTCGTGTATTATAAGTTATAATGTTATAATCTTACTTTTGTTGATCTGATTCAATTTAATACATAAGTGTCATTATAATGTTGATTATACTTGTTTAACTTTTGAATATTTAAAATAATAATTTAGATATAAATGTAAGTATCTAACTATATTTAAAGAGTTCTTTAACTTCTTAAAAGTATAAAAGTATTCTTTAGCTGTTGGATAGATATTATAAATATTTATAAGCTCCAGTCATTAAAGCCACAGTGTATCATCTATGCATTTTAATTATAATAGTTGAGTTCTATTTTTATAGTGTACTTTGTTCACGTGTGAGGTAGTGCCAAGTTTATATTTTATTTCATCTACATTAAAGTTTTTGAAATCTGATGCTAATAACTAAAGACCGGATTTATATTCTTTTAAAATACCTTAAATATAATGCTTATAATCTCTAAAAAACCTTCAAATATTCTTATTATATTCTCTTAAAAATTTTAAAAATATGTAAAAATATTCAAAATTGTTCAAAAATAATCAACAAACATCAATATATGGTTTAATATGCATTTTTAAAATTTTTTTTTTTTACAACATTCTTTTAATCATGAGGTATATACGTAGTTGCATATTATAATAGAATACTAATGTACTTCAGTAAGAGTAGGAATATAGTAAAAATATTACAGTATAATCTACAGCAGGAGTTACCAAAGTTTTCAAACAAGTTAGCTACATTTGACATTTAAGTCCCTAGTGATTGACATCCAGGAAAATTTAGGTCTTTAATCTTTAAATCTAATATTCCCATTATTCAATTAATCTGATTATTTTACTCGATCGACCGATAGTGGTAAAATTTAATTTTACAACGATTGATTGGCTGGCGATCCTTGGTCCCTATATTAAAATTTAAAAACAATATTCCTTTGGTATACTTATTTTAATTAAATTTTGTATTAACACTATTGTCACAATATTAAAAAATAATAAATAATGATATATTAAAATATAATAAAACAAAAAAAAAAAAATTGGTTAACAAAAAGTAATTCTTAAATAATAATAATTTAATACAAGATATAAAATAACAATATAGGTGTATATATATATGTATTAAAAAAAAACAATATTTCTTTGGTGCATACAAATATTTACTTTCTGAAGAATAAAAAATAAACATGAAATACTATTTAAATTTTATTATATGAATTAACAATAGTATATTTTACATATTATCTGTACTCATGTTAGTTTTTCTATTGCTTAAAATTTATTTATAGAGACTAAATGAACATTCAACATCAACAGATATTAGAGGTGTAAAATATTCTGGGAGATATTCATTGTTTCCACATAAAATGTTCCCAACTTTTACTAACATTTGGTAACATTTATTTTTTTAACATAATTGAGACACTTTAGTATTTTTATTATGTTACCCGTTTCACCAGGTATATTGGTTACTTAGCAGATAACAGTTTATACAATCTCCAACTATGAAACAAAACTCAAATATTCTAAAATATGCTAAATGGGCTAAATATTCTCTAACCTATGATATATTCTCAAATATGCAAAAAAAAAATTTTTCTATAAACTCAGAATTGAATGAATCGTTCACATTTTTTACTCTCCTACAACTGCATAGACCAAGTAATGATATGTAAAAACATATAAATCCGGTCTTTACTAATAACAAATTTGATAACTGTATTGCACATTTAAATTAAATTAGTATGTAAACAATTGTTAAATAGAATAAAAATTGAATAGTGTAAGTTTTAAATGTTTAAGCTGGAAATTGTAAAAACAAAATTTAATAAAACAGAATACAAGTAAAGGTTAGTTAAAAGTATCGATCCTAGATCACATAGCCAAAAGATCTATTACCTTATAAACAATGTTTCTCTATTCACTTAATTTACCTTGGTAATAAAATGTGTTTATTTTAAAAAAAAATTAATTTCAATTCGTCAAATTTAAAAAATAGTTCACCAATGTTCAGGGACGGCGTGAGGGATTGGGCAATAGAGGCAGTTGCCCAGGGCCCTGCGCCTTTAATTATAATTAAGGTTCCGCAGTTCTGATTTAACTGAACTTAAAATATTTTATTAATATAAATTATAAGACCCAACATTTATTTTGCCAGAGCCTCGCAAACTCTAGCACCGTGTTACTGCCAATGTTAATATAATAAATCGGAACTTTATCTTTTGTACTCCGAATTTCGGATATTTGTCTGTTTTCTTTTATACGATAAGAATTTTGAAAACATATTTTATTTCGTCGTAGTATCTTGTGTACATTTATGTAGACTGTTTTGATTAATTGATACATTTATTGATTTTAATTTTGTAGACATTTAATATATCAATATTTAAATAAAAATTGTTTTCAAAGAATTCTGGTGCTATTTAAAGAAATAAAATAAAAATGTAGGAAAGCCGATTCGCAAGCAGATGAATAATTGTTTTCAAAGTTATTATTACAATAGACTGAGAAGTTGGAAATATCATACGTTTATTTTTTTTGTAAAAAGTTTTCTATATTACTAATTATAATTACCATTCAACTCATAGGATTATCAAAGGAAGATCTTAGCGAATCGCAAGACAGGTGTTTGAATTTTAAGCTACGTAAAATTAAATTAATTTGAATAATTGGTTTTTTAAAAAAAAACCTTTTTTCTATAGGTTGATTTCAATTATGAGATTAATGTATCTTAGATTCTATAGAGTAGATATGTGAAGTGATATTTTTATATTTTTTTACTTATTTAAATTTTTTATTAGTATTTTACGTCAATTAATTGTTGATGCTACCGAAATATTTAAAAATAATTATAAATTTAATTATTACGACCACATTATGGATTTACTGTTATGAATACATATAATTAAGTATTCAATCACACTAATGTTCTAAAATTCTTGGAGTTTCAGACTCCTGTTAAAATGTATCCCAAGAAGAAACCAAAATTGTTTCCTCAACTAATTCTTACCAAAATAATGTATATTATATATGTAATAGTTAACGTAATTATGAATACAGAATTAAGTATGGCAAGTTATAAATTATTAATTTTCAATTAATTATAATTATTAAATATAGTTTTGTATTTTAACATATTATGTTTATTCATATATATTATATTATGAATTGAAAATAAGATTTATCATATAATATAATATTATTATGTACCTACACATTCTAACTTAAAACAGATACAACAGTTCAACTATTGTGAGTTTACATTTAGGTTTGGTTAGGCTTAGTATTATATCTATTTGATTTTGAAGTATCTATAAAATTTTAAGTTATAAATATTTAGTTCAAATATTCTTTTCATTATGTTTATACGACTTCATACAAATGTCTACGAAATATGTTCATAACTTTTGCAAAACCGTTTGTAGGTAGAAATAAATTATCCATTTCCAATTGTAATTTGTGCATAATTTTGATAATTTTTTTTTCGAAAAATGTATTCACTAATTATTTTTAGTATCTATATGCTTATAGTACAATAATTTCGCTAATGGGTT